ACCGATGCTATCATCACCATCGTGATCATCATCCGAAGTTGATTTACTTTTTTTTCTTTTTATACTAAGTGCAGATGTTTCAAAATCCGATCACCTGCTTTTGTTCAGTTTTTAGATTAATTATTATGACAAATTCGAGGTTAGAATAACTTACCCGAGTACGCTTAAGATTTTAAACACCGGTATCTTAATTTCTCTTGATTTTTTCACCAATATATCCTGCCCCATATACGCGAATTTGTATGTTCATTCTTTCGATGGTGTTAATGTTCATCAATTGTTAATGAACATTTGGTTCCCATCTTAAATGTTATATTACTTTATAGATATGAATTCGTTGGACTACTCAGCTGCTTGCGAGCCCGCCGCTTCCCTCGGTGGAATCATGCCACATATTGTACAAGGTAATTATATTTATAGTGAAACACAATTAATATATCTCACCGAAGTACTTGCGAATTTCCTGAAAAAACGACCCTGATCTGAGCAATCGAAGATTCACATTGCGCCTTATTAGATGGGTTTGTTTTACTTTATGATCACGAGACAATCATCAGTTTCTTTCTCATGTTAGATGCGAAGCTGTTAAGAGGAGCCCTGGACGAGGATGAGAGGAAATCGTTTCTGGAGGACGTCCTGGCGATGTTTGATGCCACCAAAGTATTGCTCGGTGCCGCCAAGAATGATCACAGGGTCTGTCTCACTCATACATAGATACATAGAGTATTGTATGTCTCGTATAGTATAATATTATGTTATGAATTCATACAAGAATAACAACCTCCTAATTAAAACAATTTGTCTAGCTATTTTTGTTAAATTGGTATAGCTGAATTATTTGTTTTTATTGTATTGATTGTTCCATACATTCACCACCTCGTAGGTCGTGAAACTCTTTTTCCTAAATTTCTAATTTACAGTTTATATAAAATTATTTATATTTGAGTTAATAATTATCTGTTGCTAAATAAAATTTATTGATAAAGATAAATCAAGTGAATCTCGAAATCCGATTTCGAAAATTAAAAGAACTTGGCTTATCATTTAGTGGCAATTTTTACTTTTCTTGATATGATTTTTTTTTGCTCATGAATGTGTTAAATACTGTTTTATGAAATTTTAATATTGTATTGACGTATGAATGATGTTTACTAGAAAATAAATGAATCAGCCGTAGTGTTCGGCAACAAGACGGCGAAACTCTTGTACGTGGTCAGCACCGATGTGGACCCTAGTCAGGAGAAAGAGGTTTGTAACTTTTTGCTCTATTTTATTTTAGGGATCTCAATCGTGACTTTTTCAATTTACTGCTCAGTTTGCGCGTAGTATATTTATGACAACGCAACATTATTTCTTTTTTATGATTTTGAATTTCGGTTTTAAGCTCGGTATTCGTAAAAGCCACGCACAATTTTACAAAGCGACAATAGATTCCCAGCCAACAGAAGCCAAGAGTACCTTCGACATGTATTTCGTCCCTTCACCAAAATTCTCAAGAGTCACTAAACCCTTCTGTGCAGCCAAGATACAGATACAAATTGGATAATAAAATAATATTTAATAGTTAAACGTACCTACTATTATACCTTCACGTCGTATCTTGGACCTCCTACTACAGACAAAAAGATTTTTCCCCAGATATATTATATTAATTAAGCTTAATGTGAACTAGGTGTTCGCGTTGGCTCGGAACATAGGCGACAGTGCGTCTCGCTTGGCCGTGACCGCGGCGGAGGCGGGCGCGGGGGCGGGTGCGGGGGCGGGGGCGGGGGAGGGGGCGCGGGAGCAGCTGGCCGCGCTGTGCACGCACGGGGGCCGCGCGGCGGACGCGGCGGGCACGCTGCTCTACACTGCCAAGGTACACCACCACACTCATCGTCAGCATCACCGGTGTGTGTCCTGCTGGGGCACAGGTCATGGGGTCGAATCAAATAGGGAGAACGGGCCAGGACCCCCACCCGGGTCGGTGTGTATTGGTGTATTAACATCCCGCAGTTGTAGCCGAGACCGCCGGCTCGACGTGCCTTCTGAAGCGCGGAGGAGTTCGAGATAAAAATGTTTTCGGTCATCCTATGAATGACTCTCTCTTCTATCGAGTCTGAAAAACTCATTGTGATTAAAACTAGAAATCGTATTTCCTATGAAATTCATTTTAGCATCTTCCAGAATCGACCCTCCTGAAACATTTTTAATTTTGGCATTCGGAATTTATCTCTGTTTATCCTTCAGTTGGTAGGACCGGCGATACATATACCGGAATGTCAACAAGCTCTAGTCAAAATAACGGAAGATCTCTCTGATCACGTGAGAAACTACAACGCTACGTGGGGCCACATACAGACAGACGCACAGCTCAAACGAGAACTCGATGAAGAGACTAACAAGTTGGAACATATGCTCAGCAATTTCAAGGTAAGTTACTGAACTAGGAAATGGGTAGAGTTTGAGACGTAATACGAATTATTAACTTATACTACATTTGGTAAGTGAAGAAAGGAGAAAGAACAACATTTAGATATTATAGTTATAAAGAAATGTAATAAAAGCGAGATCAATAAAGAACCCTATTTCATAATAGAACTCAGAGGTATAATTCTTAGATGGGCTGAATGACAAGGTGGGAACTAGAGAAATATTTGAATAAACGTTTCGAAAAATTTGTGAACAATACCGACCAACTGAACGGAATTGAATTATTATTTTGAAAGCATTTTTCATAAAAGATATTTAGATAACATTATTATCATCTTAACTTCATTTTCTATATTTAATAAGTAAATAATTAATCTTAATTTTATTACTGGCCTCCTGATTTATTTTCTAGTTCCTTTGAGGAGTAGAGTAAATATATTTTTGAGACGCGATTCTTGTGTCTACAACAACGATAAATGATTCCTTCTTCTGGTATTTATATTGTAATTTTTTTTTTGTTTATAGGAGAATATTCAGAGTGGTAAATTAGTGAAGAGGGTGGTGGTAGACAGGGTCACGGTACACAACACACCTCTCAGGAATCTCGCCTGTCTCATACTGGAAGATGCCCAGGTTATACAATACTTTAAAACTACTTCCTACTAATGTGTTATCTAGGATACAAAATTATTTAGGTTCTAATTGTGATTAACTGTGTCATTTCTTTCTCTAATTTTAGAGCTATCTTTGCATGTTTAGCTTTATTAATATTTTCACGATTATGTTCTCAGAAGAGAGCCAAGCAAGTGAATATTCCGCCAGAACAACGTGGCAAGTTTGCTAAGTATGCCACGGATCTGGGCCAGGCCATACGTCACTTAGATATACTGTACCATCGAAGCTGTAACGCGCCTCATGTGAGTATTTATCTACCGAACATGTAAATCCGATATTACAAATATCAATTCATTCAAAGATACAAATTTTCTAATTTATAATGTGGGCAAGATGTAGGCTGATGTAGATCATATTTCTACAGTAATAAGATAAGTAAGATATTCTATTGAGTAATTTGGATATGTTTGTGATGATGAGATGCACGGTGCAGGATGTAGAGAGACGGCAGCAGCTGGAGAACGGGGTGCAGGGCCTGCAGGTGATGGTGCTCATGGGGAGGCCGACTGCTGATGTTTCACAAAATAACATCGTTGATTTGACGGTAACATTGCTTATAAAGCACATATCCTAATAAAAAAACCCTTAAAAGTCTGAACAGTCTCGGGTGCCTGAAACAAATGTATGTACTCAATTTCAATTGTAATCAATGCTAAATAAATATACTAAATGTATTGATACACACAGGATCAATTGTGTCGGTATTTTTATGCAACGATTATAAGATAAATTAAAAAGGTATCCTTTTTTAATTTTAACTAAATTTAGCAGAAAAAATTCAATAAAAAATTAATAAAATTTTCGGGTTCTTCAACAGGACTATGTTAGAGCTGTATCAGAAGAAGCAGACAAATTGTACAAAGAATGCAAAGAAAACCAACCTGAAGTAAGTGTACAAAAACTACAATACAAAACTAACTATCTAATACTAAATAACTAATACTCCTTGTAAAATTTATTTCTGTAGAACTTAACCGATGGCTAATTTGGTATGACGATCAAAAATAATCCTGAGTTTATAGTAAAGCCGATGGTGAAATTTGATTTATACAATAATTATAATTAGTTTAACTTTTATTTTTAAGGTCCAAATGGTTCGAGACCATTGCCAAAAAATTAAAAATCATGCGGAAAAGACTATGAATCCAGAGCTGGCTGATCAGCCTTTGGGAGATGAGACGACGATGCAAGATAGATCTGAGGTTGCGGAATTCGCTGAGGTGAAATTGAAAGCAAACGCAAACGCTGATAGCAGATCAATTCGAGCCGAAGAAGGCGGATAAACTAGTTTTCTGTACACTATGCAAATTAACCGCTTACATTAGATGTCTGATGCTTTCCAATACGCACAAAACCGTGTGTGTGTGTTAATATGTTTTCATACAAACAATTCTACAATTAGCTTCTTGCCTCCTTCGGCGCTGTCGATAAAGATTAATATGCGTTTCCCTTATTCGTTTTCCATTAATAATTTTTTTGTTTTATAAATAATGTAATCACTTTCAGGAATGCGATAAAAGAGTAAATACATTAAATTCTATTATTGAAAGTCTCGACGATGGCAAATATAAAATTGAGCTACAAGAAAAGGCGGCTCGTCTTACGGAGAGCACTCATCTGTTAAGGTTAGTTTGATAGAACATGATTGTAAACAAATGTCAATAATATCAAAGTACTAATGATCAATAAGATTGAAGTTACCATTTTAATAAAACCATTTTTGGATGGATTAAAGTCGTATAATTTTTTTTTTTATAACATTTTTAGACGATCTAGTCTCTGTCTAGTTCTCATGCGTACAGTCAGATCCTACACAAAGCTTGCCTACACACATATCAAACCTGTTTAAAATTGAAAAGTTTTATTTAATAAGAAATGTAGAGTTTCCACAGTTTTTACTCTTCTTTGCTTCTTCTTCTTAATATACAATTTGAATTTTATATTTCACCTAACATCATTTTGATTACTTACAGTTTTGCAACTAAGAGCGACTTGGCGACGACTCAGAGCGTGTCCTTAGATGCAACTTTAGAGGAGTTGACAGATTTAGAAAAGAAAATTGACGAAATGCTGGCAGTTAGTGGAAAACGGCGTGTTCCTTATAAGGTTTCTGAATGTTTTTCAGCACTTAGAATTTGTAGTTTTCCTGTTATTATTTTTTATTTCATTTTCTATTGAGGATAAAACTTAAATTGGACTTTGTTTATATTTTATTTATTTATGCACTATCGTACAAAGGCGGCCTCGTACTACTCAAATATGAAATGTTGTTATTTATGTTTTATTGAATCGTACGATTTGGAGAAGCTAAAACTGTTTTTATTTCGAGTCATTGGATTTAGTCATCGCCTATTAGCAAATTTAATAAGTTAGTAAACAATGTAATAACTGGAATGTAGGTTCTATTATTAACGAAAACATTTGTAAACAGGGTGGATTATGGGCTGGGTTGGGCCGTGGAAAGCTCATGGGGTCAATATGTGGTGGTAGTGGAGCTAGCAGTCTACCACCAGCATATACTGCTTACTTAGATGATGTCAGAGTAGCTGGAGATTTTAACGAACCACATCATAAACAAAGGTATATTCACATCTATATTTTAGGTTTCAGATTAGACTATTACAGTTTATCCATTAGATCTAATCTAGAATGTGTTAACCAGGTCCAAAGAACATCTACTTAAAGTGCTCAATTTACTGAAGACTTTGGTTATGACGGATAGTCGTCATGTGGCCACCTGGCAGCCCATCAACCATTCAGAAACTGCCAGTATCACTGAACAAATCCTAAAGGTAATGTTGTCGTTAAATCGTTAATGACTGTGTGACTGAAATACACATTAAAAATATTAGCTATAGTTTAAGATAAACCATGGAAGGTTTCGGTCAAAATACAAGTTATTTTAGATAAATTGTATCTGATTTTAGGAAATGGAAAGCTATGACAGGGAAATGGCTGCCATAAACGGACATCAGAAATCTATATTGAGTGAAGAGGAGATCAACAAGTTACTACTGCCGACACGAACTCAGCTCCAAGTCGATCCGAAGTAAATTTGAAAAACTATATGATTTTCATTTCTTTATTGTCTTGAGTCTACTTTATTGTGATTCCTTCAATGTGTACACAATATTTTTGTACAACACAAAAACCCTAAAAAGGAATCTGAGTATATGGAAATATTTTTTTATGTACTCAAAAGTATGTGGAAAATTCATATAGTGATGGAAAGATATTTCAATAGGTCTGCAGCATAAAAGATCTTGATGCTCAAAAGAATCAGATCTCAAAGCCGTACCACGAATTCGTTTAGTAATATATTTTCCCATTTTTATATCAAAAAAAAAAAAAAAACAAAATCATTTATTCAGTCTAGGCTATTACAAGCACTTGTGAAAGTCGAGAGCTACGCCAACGGTTCGTAAATCTACGGCGGGAGACCTTGTACCGAGAAGAACCGGCAAGAAACTCGGCAAGGTCTGCTTTTTTCTCCCTGTTTTATTTCATACAGAGCGTCAAGATTGAAAAATGACTTCATTAAAATTTGAAGTCACTTTCCATTATAATATAACACAATATTAAGAGTAAAACAGTATTTTCGTCAATCCAATCACATTTGTAGCCAAAGAAGCTCACCGATTAACAATTTAATATATATGAAAAATGAGCCATATTTAACTCCAAGTAGTTTTGTCGTTTAAATATTCATTAATAGTATAATATCCTTTACTGAGTAGACAATTCTTAACATGGGTTTTAAACTTAGGTAATGGTAAATTTAAAATTTCCATAGGAATTTTGTTATAGTAGTGTACACCTTGACCCATAAATGACGATACATCTGTAAGTTGCCTAATTTTTTTTATTGCAAAGGCAGCTGAACTTAGTTTTCCTGCCAATAATGAAATGTGAGGATGCCATTGCAATTTAGAATCCAGCGTTACACCTAAGAAGATTGTTGAATCAACCAACTCGAGCTTTTCATTATTAAGTTTAATTTCTGTAAGTTCAGCTTTTACATTAGGTAACATAAACTTTATACATTTCGTTTTTTTAGCATTTAACTGGAGATTATTTACAGTAAACCAGGTCATAATCTGTGATAGAGCATTGTTTACATCGTCAAAATTATTTTTACATCTATCAATATTAAATATTAAAGAAGTATCATCTGCAAACAAACAATATCGCATAAAGTTTCGGCAAAAAATGGCAAATCATTTATGTAAGTTAGAAACAGAAAGGGACCCAGAATATATCCCTGGGGAACTCCCATTTTTACTTGTGATCCAGATGATCTCACACCGTTAATATCGATAGTTTGAGTTCTGCAACTGAGGTACGACAATATTAGTTGTAGGGCGGAATCTTTGATACCATAGTAATTTAGCTTCGTTACTAGTGTTCGATGCTCAACGCAATCAGATGCTTTGGATAAGTCACAAAATACTCCAAGAGCATTCTGTGACGCCTCCCAAGCTCTGAATATATGTTTAAGAAGTGCTATACCAGCATCAGCAGTAGAGCGACCTTTTGTGAAACCATATTGTTTAGTATGCAGTAATTTATTTAAATTAAAATTTGATATGAATTTGATAGCGTCATATTTTAAAATAATGGTAGTATTCATCACCTATTTTATGAAATCTTAAAATAAATATTTATATGGAATAATAAAGGCAGAAACCTATTCATATACTAACATCTAAAAAAAAATATTGTTTACAGGCAAATCCCGGAGAGGTTATTGTCAGCGGCGGGCACAGTATCCGGAGCGGTGGGGACCCTCATACAGAGCACGGGCACGGCCGCCTTCCCCAGGAGCGTTCCGCCCCTCATACAGGCGGTCACCCATCTCTCCAGTCTCGCCCACACAGTGCCCGTACACGTCAGTTTCATCTTAGTACTAACATATTTATTATATACTAAACTACTTCTTAAGACTCTTCTGAAGTTATAATTAAAAAGTGAGTTGATTTCCCATAGCAACTGATGATTATTATGGTTATGTATTGTCAATTAAATAAATTTTAGTATATAAATATTGCTAGTAAATAAATGATTAGTAATTATTTAATAATACTATTCAACCCTATATATAGCGCGCCTTCACATAAAACGATCACCCATCTCATATATCATTTATCAACCTATGAAGTTTTTTCAGTTATTGAGTTCCAGCGTAGACCTGTAAGAAATGTAGTTTAGATGTTGCATATATGACCTTCAGGGTGTCTTATAATTGTGTATGTGATTATAGTATTGACCTTGCTATTAACTCGTAATGATGTTAGTGCTGTGCTGTGAGACAATTGGCGACTAACAATAAAGAATTGCCATAGACAAGAAAAAATGGAAAACATATTTTTAAACTTATCCTCACTCTATAATAATTGAATTAATGTAATATTACATTGACAATTATCACTTCCCACATCTTTATCCATCGTTTCAGGATATAGCTCATAGTCAAAAGATAGATGTAGCTACAAAAGAGATGTCCCTTCAAGCATACAAAGTGCTGAAGACAGCTGAACTTGTTTCTCAGGTAAATTGTAGCAAAAATATGTTCTCACATTGAATTAATTATTTGTTAAATTTAAAATGTTTCGTTAACGATTTACGGCTAAAACTAACTTAGATAGGGTGAAGTTTTAAGATAATAAGAAATTAAGACTATGAAGCTTTGTCCATTTCATTGCCACATGTAAGAAATATGATATTTTTTTTTGTATTTTTTGCAGCAACCAAATAATTATGCATCGAGAAGCAGATTCTTAGACGCCTGTAGCAGACTTAACGATGCCATCGCTCAGTTGGTAATTATTAGTAAAGGAACAAGAAATAGCTTTTGTACTAAAGAATATAAAATATTGTACAACTTAATAAAAAGAATCGAGTGCGTCACATACGCCGCATTTCTGGTCCTGGAGACAAAAATTGTTATACCCGAGCCTTTAATTTTTTGTTTAAATTTTTATAAATCATACACTTGTAAATTATTTATTGGACTCGCGCAGGAAGAGTTCCGGGCCATCATCGAGTTTTTGATCAAGTGAAATAGAGTACAATACAATAGGTCGATTATCACACGTAAACTTGGAAAGTCAACTCAGACGTGATGTTTTTTCTTTTAACTTTGTTATACACAGGTCCTCCTGCTGGGACGTTTGAATTTTAGTTGCGAGCGGGGAGGGGGACGCTTGCCTCCGCTCGAAGCGTACAAAATTGACACTTTAAAGTGATATCAGTCACGAATAGTTTACTAAATCCAACGGTCTCGAAATGTTTCTATTGAGGTTTACTGTGAAATGAGAAATGGCTATGCACTTGCATCAGGTTCGGACGACGTCCCCGTCCCGCAAGCTGCAGGCGGAGTGCGGCGCGCTGCTGGCGCGGCCGCCGCTGGAGGGCGCCGCCGCCGCGGGCTGGCGCGCCGCGCTGCACGCCGCCGACGCGCTGCACCACCTGCACACGCAGCGCGATGTACTGCGTGAGTTGCCTCACTCGATGATCTTCAATATTTATTTTCATTTCCCGACCGTGGTAAATTTCTAACTTTAACGTAACGACCCTGAAAGTTGTCGCAATCGCATGCGAATGCAAAACATCTGCGAAACAATTGCGAATGCGAACAGGATTGTCACCTTTTGAGAACAAAATGCTAATAAATTGTATTAATCATTTTACATTGCCATACGACTGACAAGATTTCGCAAATGTTTCGCATTACGATTTGTTTCGATTACAAATGAAAACTTTGTTGTTCCTCATTTTGCTAGCACGAATGCTCAGTTTGATTTGTAGCAAAGAAATCTATACGACGTGACTTTATGACCTCCAGAAAAAGTATCAGAGGAGGGTTTCCTTCCCCGTGAGGAGTTCCGTCGGTCGCTGGGCTACGTGACCGCCGCCGTACATAATAGCTTGCAGTACGCCGCCCACTTCGCATATCTGGTAACACCCCCGTGAATTTATTTTTTGCTTCACCGTATTCCTTCCGGTATATACGATCACCATCACTCCGCAATGCATAAGAACAGATCTGCTCTAGGGATCGAATAAAATAGGGCGCACGGGCGAATGGGCTAAAGACCACCGGCCTGACATGCATCCAGAAAAAAGCACAGATAAATTTTAGTCACCCGTTTCGTATTCAACCTTCATATTGCAGACCGAATGCCCTAAATAAAAAATAGAGGTACGCACATTAATAGAGAGAAAAAAGAAGCACGCAAATATTCGAACAGACATAGATATATAGTTAATTCAAAAAAATAGAAAGCACCGACTCGGTGCAAATCCGAGGGCAGATCCGTCGTGGATCGCCAGAACCGACAATATATATTGATGGATGATTCGAGTACTAATCCATACACACGGTGGATTTTCCATCAGATTTGCACCGACCCCAGAATAATAACAAAAATGTATTCGATCGACCACGCATCCTATAGATTACAGCAATGCTTTCGATAAATTAAACATTGTCGCTTAAAACTATTTATAATTTTAATTTACGTTTGTGCCGCGTGTTATTCTCATTAAAAAAAACATCAGAAACGTCACTACTAAAGTAAGTAATAGTATTTCTTTATGTTTCTCAAAATTTCAGATATCCATATCAGAGCAACATAAAGATCTTGCTACAAAAGGATTTATAGACGTCGCCAGAATTCAGAGTCTATCAGAAACCGTTCAGGAATCATGCCACAGGATCATTAGAACTGAGCTTGATCAGGTAACGCTGTTCATTCTATCTTTATATTTTTAAACCTAAAATCACAATTGATTCAATATTTACTCGACCAAATAACTAAAACCGTATGGCATTTGCAATTAATCCTTTATACATTGTATAAATAATATTTACACATAACAGAAAAAAGAGAATAATGATCTTTATATAAACCCCACACAGGTTAAAGAAGAAGCTCCAATGATCATAAAGCAAGTGCAAGACTTCAAACAAGCAATAACAGAAGCACAAGAAAAGATCGCTGAAGAACAAAATAAAAATGAATTAAACGAAGCTAATGTTGAATTGGAAGAAGCAATAACAGAACTTACAGCTGTCGTACACGAAAAAACTCTGAATAGAGTAAGTTGATTTTCCTACTGATTGATAACTTAATACCAATATACTTATATTTTTACACATGGGATTAAAAATTCACATTGAAACAAAATATATACTGAAAGTAATAAAAGATAACTAGGCAGTAAAAAAAATAGAAGTAAAAGAGATGCTTAGTAATAATTATTTGAAAATTTAACTATATAGTATTACTTATTATTGATTGGTGTTTTTTGTAATTATCACTATCATTGTTCTACAAATTAATTTTTAAAAGTTTCCACATTGATTAGCTGTCCATTATTTCCCCTTTTGATATGTTTGAAATTAATGTGTATAGTTTTCTCAGGCTAAATTAACAGCAGTGATTACAAAGGTACTTGACTCAACACGATGGATTTGTTATATTATCGAGAAAGTGTCTATTGTCCCTGAAGTGAAAGAAGTCTCACCCGAAATTAAGGCGTGCCGCGATGATATCTTAAAGAATTGTAGGTAAGTTATAAAAAAAGAAAAACTGACATCGACAAGTGTCGGAATTTAAAATCTAACTTTTATCCGCAACTTCACCCGTATGATCAAAGAAAAGTACATAAGGTTAAAAATAAAACAAAAATCATACCACTACGACATTTTACAGTGACTTTTATATATAAAAATATGTATTATCTATAGTGAGTATGGCGGCATAACAACTTATTTCTTGCCTATATTGTATGAATTAATTGAAGCACTGTTTTTTAAAATAGAAATCTTTATTATTTAAATGCTAATTCAATTTTATATTGAGTTAATTAATTTAGTATTCTTTTGTCTGTAGAAACTTGAACACCAAAACGCTTGCTCTTATCAGAGAAGTGAAATCATCTGAAGATATAGATCCTATGACTTGGGTTACCTTCGGAACTAGAAAAGCAGTTCTGGATATGTTCGAAGCTTTGGTAAACAGTGTTCAGTAAGTTATAATCTTAATAATAATAATTTCATTAAGAAGTATACGCTAAGTTACGCTTCTTCAAAGACCAATATTGGGACCACTGTTATTTAATAGATAGTTAACTCTATTGATGGTAATTTAATAATTTACAGAGAAAATGGAAAACATGTTGGTATTTTGGAGCCTTCTCAATCTGATATAGAAGAGGTATGTAATTCTTATATTGACGATATCGTTATAATGGTTTTAAGAGCTATGTTAAAAAGTAATTTTGCGTTCCAGGAATCACAACAAGCAAATAAAAGCAGCGTCCAAATACAGTACGTATCACTAATATTTTTCGATTCTTTATACATAGACAACTAGTTGTCTATGTATCAACAAAGTAATATAAATGTAATATGATATTATTTCTGATTTTAGGCTGGATTTGGCAAACAAATGGCTGTCACGACCTACAGTTAAACCTGAAATCAAAACATCAGGCGAACAAGCGGTCAGAACTATCATTAGCTTAGGAGAAAAGGTATGATATACTAAGGTTAGGACTTGTAACTTTTTTATTAATGTAAATCAAATAAGAATTGCGTTATTTATGTAGTTTCGTTGCAGGTATCTGAAGATATGACGGGACCGGAAAAAGAAGAAATGCTTGAATTGACAACTTCTAGCGAGGAATTACTTGCTGAGTGTTTGAAGAAACATGATCCACAAAAGGCAAGGTAAGTGAAGTTTTCACCTTTTGTCTTTGAAGAATATTTTTTTACGACAATATATAACTATTCCGACTTTTATAAAAAGGGTATCTGTCATCGCCATTTCATTGTAACTTCTTCATCATCAGCCTATTCATGTCGCTACTGGTGGGGCTCAGGTCTTCCACATGGCTGATCAAACGAAGAAAATAAGCCATGTCCTACCACGGATCTCTTTTGGATCCTTTGCGAATTGTTTTCACCCATCCTATGTCCGGTAATGTAGAGTCGCGTAATGTAATCTCCGTATCGCAGAAATAATTCACCTATCTAGTTTTTCGAGTTTTCAGTAGTTCCTGTAGAGCAAAATTAACAGAAAATTCTTGATTATATCGCTTTATTTGTTGTCAGTTTATTAATGGAAAGGTTGAAACTTCTGAGGAAGGCCATAGAGCGAGGAATCGTGTCACGTGTCGTGGAAGATTTCCTCGAGGGAGAAGAACCTCTCGCTGATCTCGAAATACTTGCCGATGCCGAGAAAGGTAAGGATATCCACTAACGTTATTAAGAATGATAATCGGGCATCGATCGATCGGAATCATCAGATTTATCGTTTATTGCGAGATCGCTATTGTGTACCGGAAGAAAAATAAAGGTTGTGTCGTTTGGCAATTATGCACAGGGAAAATCGAGCCGAGAAATGGTCAGCGGCGACGTATTGCCCCCCTATATCGATATCGAACATAACCGTATTGAACATAACGGGATATCTGCTGATATATCTGCCGATAAAACCTCTCTGCAAAAACTTTAGGCACCCACGCAGCTACGTTAAATCAGCAACTCGATAAATATAAGGCACATGGGATCAATTCCGTAGTTAACAATTATCGTAACGTCCATGAAAATGTAAGTTTAAAACATCACATCGGCATTGTCAGACCCGGAGCAGCGCAAGTTCCTGTTGGAGCGCAAGATAGCGCAGCTGCAGGCGCGGCTGGCGCGCGCGGGCCGCACCGCCCGCGTGCTGGCGCGCGCCGCCCCCGCCGCCCACCACCAGCGGCTGCTCGCCTGCACGGAACAGGTACACTCGCACTCACACCACTCTCGATAGGATATCAGATTAGCTTTATGACATCAATCTCTCATAATAGGGGTGATGCCTGTTTATATTATTGAAGAGTATCATTAGAATAAGAATGTTATCTCACGAATTGTAGAGATACAATCGACTAGAGAAATATGTACTGTAGTTGATTGATAAGGACAGATTTCAAAACTTTAAAATTAAAGAAAGATAGATCGTCGTCGACCTGCGATCTCCTTTTTTATTCGATTTGGTAGATTAAATCTATTTTTATAGGTACAATCCATTAATCCATAACAATCGTTCAGAACTTCTGTTAGCTACGGAAAAACTGTCAAAATATGTAATAAAAGTAACTACTTAATTACAAAAGAAACATTTATGAAATCTATTATAAAATTAACTTAATCACTGAATTCTAAGTTTGCCTGTCTGTTATTACCTGACTGCTTATAAATATAGTAACATTCTTTAAAAGAAAATAATTTGTAGATTACCTCACAAATAAAACAAGCTTTGAATAAAGTAAGCAGATTTGGTTTCATATAAAATGTCGCTTTATTAATTACAGACAGAGTTATTAGCGCCGATGCTGGTACAAGCTGCCCAGAAGCGAGTCATATCCCCTGACGATCAGGTATTGATATATGGATAGCATTTAAGTGACATGGGTGGTGAGGTAACACTGGTAATGTCAACGGAAAACGCGTTTATTGAAACGACATTCGTGCGGATTTAGCTGGCTGACTTCGATGAGGATGGACGTCTTAACTACAATTATTACAATTAATTATAAATACTTTTAATGAAAATTTAATGGACGAAGTTAAAATATGAAAACAGGCTGGTAACTTAGTTGTGAAACGCCAATTTCATTGAAATTTCACATTATGTAACTTTTTATTTCATTCATGTTAAGTCTGAGTAATTGGGTGCCGTTTTACCCTCTCGGTACAGAACCCTTAAAATGAGCACGCTAAACTATTTTTTAATTCAAAGACATTTTAAGTACTAGAACGAGGAAATTACTTTCATTACCAATTATTTATCTCTCAATATAGGCAGCAATCGAGCACTATCAGAAACTTCTTTCCGAGTATGCAGATTCGCTGGCTAACATTCGCAGTCTCTGTGACCAAGCTGTGGACCCCATGGCTTTCGTGCAGACCGCGGGTAAATATAATGCCATCTAAATAATTTTCCAAACTAATAAATAATTACATAATTACATTACCTACTTTTAAACATAAAATTAGTTAATGAATGAATAAGAAGTTTATGAATTCAGATACTTTTATTTTATGTAATTAAAATTATAAATTTTAACAGGTGAAGCCATGCAGAGACTAAGGGAAGACACCACCAATGATAACGATCCCCAAAAGTGTGCTTATGCTTCTACAGCAATCACTAAGTAAGTAAAGCAAAACTTAGTAATTTACAAATAAACATATCATTTGAATTCATGAATTAAAATAATACATTAATATACTATTCTTATATATATATATATATTTTATTTGACGCAACTGTAAGGCTCCCATTAGAATAACAGTGCCCTTAGTATCAGTCTGCCCTTATATGAATGATACAGGCCCCTTTGCTGAGATAGGGGTCAATCTTGGACTCGCATTTTTTCTTTTTTATTTTGTTCTTGTTTACGTTTATGTATGTGGGGTCAATAAATATATATCTTTCTTTTCGCTAGGCTGGCGAACCGAGTGATCACTGTTGGCATGTCATCCAAAGATGTTAGAAAAGACATTGAACTACAAAAAGCTTTGAAGGAAGCCAAGGAAAAACTAATGGCGGTCGTTCCAGGGCCAAATTCTAGGCGAAGTCGAATCCCCGACTGGAAAGTTACTACTGCCGAGGTCAGTTAAGCTGTGAAATATCTATAAGGTTATTTGATAGTGACAATTAGCTATATCGAAAAATTTATGAATGAAGATAAATGGTGTTTAAAATAAATGTCTGTTGTTATAATATAGTTTGCGAAATAACTATATGTATATTTATACAATAAACATTATGTACCATAAACTTCATTTTTTGAACTTTTTGTAGATTCTACGAACGACTGGAGAGGTAGAATCCGTGTTGGGTGGTGAAATGATTTTCAAGAAGCAACAAACTTCAGATGAACCTATATTTGTAAGTAGAATTATTAGTTCATAATAATGGATATTGTATTGGTATTGATGATAGTGTTAATGATGATGAATAACAATTGTTTGGGCAATTTTTGTAAGTCACTAGTCCAATTTCAAACAAAATAAAAAATGTTACTTTTAGTAACAAAGCAGACTTTATATATAGTTTTGTAAGTTAAATTTATCTTCTTCTTTGTAGTTGTTAGTAAAAATCTTTTATGGTATAAAACATTTTACATTAATTATGTGTGTGTCTAGGCGGCGGCGTTAGATCTGCACACGGCGATGCGGGGCTGGTCCGCGAAGGACAACGAGATAGTCGCTGTCGCCAAGAGGGTCGCCGTCTTGCTCGCAAAGCTCTCTCATTACATGAACATAGGTCAGTATATATATTTTTTTAAATACATATATATCTAATCATATAATAAATTCAAAATAATATGTGCTGTCTTGGCTATTTACAAATACCTGTGGAGATTGAAAGACATAGCACGCACGTACTTTATGCTGCAGCTGCATACGTTGATTTTCACCTTTTTGAAGTCGTAAGCCAGTGGTTTGCATTTTATATATCTATGTTTGATGCAATATATCCAACGAGACATGTATTAAAGCTTTGGAAAACGCCCGAACGGGTCAGGTTTTTTTGAGAAAGATGCATAATTTGGCGGTTAAGTGTGTTCTCACGCGTATACCCTCCAATTGTTTTTATTAATACTGCGCGCATGATAGTTTTTTATTAACTGCTTTTTATGTCCCAGTGTAAAACCTTCAATAAATAATATACAAAAAATAGATAATAGCACAATTATGATGACGGGACATTAATAGTTCTGCATATTATCATAAGCTCAACATGTAGCTTGCACGCCGGTTTCAAGAAGTCTAGATTCAGTGTTTGATTTCCGGTTGAGTCTATATTAGGAATTATATTTTAAATATTATTCCAAGTACATAATGGTGGAACCTCTTTTTTAGTTTACCTTATCATAATAGCCATTGCTTTGTTTTAGCTAATAAACTTGGGGTCTGAGCCATGTGTTCATAATGAATTATTTATCGTTTGTTAGATCGCAAGCGTGACGTGATAGTGACCGCTAAGAGTATAGTGACCGAGTCACGCGAGGTTGCCGAGCTCGCTGGGAAACTCGCACACGAGTGCACTGACGTCAGGATCAAAACCGTACGTCACTTGCTAAAACATACATTATACTCATACAGATTGTATAAAAAAGAGTTAATCTAACATTACAATTGTCTCATCAACAGCAAATACAATCAGACTGACATCACTTTCAGTCTCATAGACGTCACTGTCAGTCACACAGACGTTACATACACTCACACTGTCGATACATACACTCACATTAAAATCATATGCAATCACGCCGACGTCACTGACATTTCATTAACACCGATGTCACAATATTTAATCATCAATATTATTATTACAGAACTTATTGAAAATATGCGAGAGAATTCCCACAATCAGCGGGCAGCTGCAGATGTTGGCCACAGTCAAAGGATCACTCGGACACCAAGGTGAGAATACTGTCTAGTTGTGCACTCAATTTAAATTATTTGACAAATGTGCTATAATCAGAATCAAAACTTTTATCTTTATTGAAAAAAAAATATTAAAATTCAGCATCACCAGGTGCCCCGAGATGAGACTCGAACCCAAAAATCTTTGCAATCGGGATGACTGCTCTCCGATTTCAAGGCTAATTTTGATAGTTTTACTATTTTTTACTATTATGTATTACTTATCTTACAGGTTTAAAAGAAGATCAAGAAGATATGAACATGTTAGTTGCTAACGCGCAGAACCTCATGCTGAGTGTGAGTATGATCTTTTTCAGAATAACTTAGTATTTTAATATAAATTAGTAAATAAATTCCAGTCATTTTTACATTGTTCAGATCTCAAATTAAGTAGTGATATGGAAATCTGTGATAATGAATGAACGTAACATAAACTTGAGACAATATATAAAAGTATTTTTTTTTATTGATCCGACACCTTCACACCGGCGCGCGAGTCATCCAATCACGAAAGTCGTCTTTTGTTTAATACTAGCGTCACCTAGCGGGAGTAAAATCTGACGTTGCTGCCAATGCTTTAACTCTGGTATATTCCATCTTGGTTTGTAAAATAATGTTACACTGGAAAATTCCATGATGATACATGTGATGTATGTAGGTGCAAGAAGCCGTGAGCGGTGCAGCGAGCGCGTCCGTCAAGATAATGTCGCAACGTTGCGGACCGAGGATAAGATGGGTGCGCAACACTTACTACTGACCTCCACCTTATCAAACGCTTTATTTAAGCCAAAGTCAAATATTATATTATATTTTTTTAATAAAATACAACAATATTAACTTGATGTGTTTCTTTTCTTGACATACGTAATAATAACTTCCGAGACTTGACACCCAGATTTGTTTTAAAGATCGTGAAGAAAAAACAATAATTTAAAAGTGATAAAGAAATTTGGCAATTTACGAAATTTCATTTTCTTGTTATTATGCCTTTTCTTATATACTTGTAGCCGCGGTGCAGGCAGCAGGCAACAAGCGTCGCGCGCCAATCGAGCGGCTTAGTTTAACACATTTAAATCACACAGACATTTAAATTAGTACATATGTTATCGTTTAAACAAATTATTATAAAAAATAATGTTTGATCATATATTTTCACTTTAAACAGTATTTTTTTTTATTATATGTTAAATCATACCCGACTAGACATATAGCAAATTTTTCTAATATACCTAAGTATAAAAATAGCAGTAGGGATCTCGAACAGGTATAAAAACGTGGAGGGAAGAGCGGAGCGACAGCTGCTATGTACAATGGAATTTCTCGGCTAGTTTAGTTGCAAGTAACACGTGTTCTGCGAATATTGTGCTTCTATAACAGTGAAAATTTGTTTTTTAATGAAAAATTCTTGTATATTTTTGTACTGGAAGGTGTATTGAAGACAACGTTTTTATATTGAACGATTACAAATTATTTCGTTAATTACACTTAATTATTGAATTAATAAAATAATTAAATTATAAATTTATTACAAATGCAATTAATTAATTATTAATTGTTTTTTATTAGATTTCGAACAATGGATAAACCAACGACTAGCAGCATGGCTCATGAAAATAGCTGCATAATATGTATACACCTAGGTTCATCGAGATTCTTACTTTAATGTTTATAGGTATCTTTGAAAAATGTTCGTATATGTCTACTTAGGTAAGATTTAACATATAAATAAAAAATAAAAAACTGTTTAAAGTGAAAATATATGGTTAAACATATTTTTTTTTTTATAATAATTTGTTTAAACAATGAAAAAAATGGAGTGCACAAAAAATTTTTGGTTAAACATTGCAAATAATAGTTTAAAAAACAATATCCCACATCGATCATATTAATTCATTCACTGTAACTCTAATCCGAGGTGAAAACCCCCAGGCGCTCCACTAATTAAAATTTTTATAGATAGCGAACTGACTGCAGGCAACGAGAACGAGCCAATTTCCCCCGCGCCGGGATCGCAACCGTCACCTCGCCTGCGGGCATCCAGTTTAGGGCCTAAGATTGTCCGTATATGCCTGTCGCTGTATTGAATTACTCAATTTATCAATTTCGGACTCATTTTTAATGAAACATTTGCACCTTCGACCTACTGACTATAGACATCCAGCACAGTGTGAACTAAGAATTAAACGCTAGGTAGAAGTAAAGACAAAATACCATATTAGTACTAGAACCTAATTTTTTTTAGGAAAATCCATGCTGATCAGTAGTATATTCACTTCAAGGAAGATTTTCAAGTACTTCAGAACTATTAACTATCACATTTTAAATCGCAATTGTTGAAAATAAGTTCGTAATAACGAAAAATATTTCTTTTCAAAATTTACTGCACATGTTTTAAAACGGATCTCATACTTTTTTTCCAATATATTCCTTTAGTTGCAAATAAGTTTCAACTAGTTCCCTTTGTTTGGCATTTCCATCAAATGTGTGATGTCGAATTTGATGATAATATTTATATTTGACCAATATTTTTGTAGACCCACAATGAATGTTTGCCTAAGCCTAGGGCTGCATGGACCATGGACCTTTAGAATAGCAGCTCTGAGGAATAATTGGAAGATATTGGTTAAAGAATTAAATAAAAAACATCATCTTAATAACATATTCTTTATTTCTAATACAAATTCCTGAGCTTAGTCAGTATGTCATGATGAAATCGACGTTACGATATAAATACTAATAACAATTATGCATGTGATACTAAAACTTAGTGAAAAGATTCCGAGTGCGAATGTTTTTCATACGACAATGGAGAATAAACCTAACTGTCTAATCTTAAAGTCCCATTTAAAATAAATGATTCAGTATAGGTTGGCTGTTTGATGAATTTTTTTTTCTGCAAGGAGGATCGTTTATTTTAAATGAGATTTTCGGTGAAATTGAAAATGGCACAAGAGGATCACAGATGGGTGGTTTGCAGTTATAGATCAATAGTTCGGGTTCACTTCCGCCTGCGAGCCTGTGAACAAATAACAAACGGGTTTAAGCTAATTCATAATTCATTAAATTTAAATTTATTTATCATCATACAAAACTGTAATTTATAACAGTAAATATGATTTTATATAATATTAAGGTATCCTCATCCTAATGGATAAAATGCATATAACTGATTGCATTCGAGATAATTGTAATAAAAACTATAGTAGGTAATGAATCTTCAGTTAAATTGAGATTTTTATGTAATCAGATGAAGGTAGTATTAGTATTATTGATATAGAAAAAAAAAGGTGAACACTCACGACTTCCTTCATCTCCTTGTTGACGCACGTCGAGCGCACGTGGAATGCACTGACGTACGTGCAGGAACATTCCTGTACGCGCGTGTACCGCACCATACCCTGCACTATCACGTTGGCTGCGGTCTGAATGTACTGCTTCTGTTCGTTGGCCTTCAGCGAAGCGAAGTTAGATGCCGAGAACGTGTATCCGTCCATCTGTTACCAAATGATAAATTTAAATATTGTGTGAATTAGGTACGTACAAATCCTGTTGAGCAAATCTGTTTTGTAGTTTTTTCGTGTCTCAAGTCATCTACGCACTGGGCGTGCATATTTGATTCTATACATGGGCCTTGTGCCCCAGCAATAAGGACATCAATAGGCTGACAATGGTGATAAATTAATATTTATTTTAATACCATGACTTGTGGATCTTTCACATTATTTTCTACACATGTTGATGTTATATAACAATTTAGAGCGAATTTTTTTATTATTCATTATTTCACCTACAACTTTTTTTTTTTAATTTAGAATTAGGTAGTGCAGTGAAAAATTTTAGATAGGTAGATAATAAGATGAAATTTGTCATATTTACCATTTGAACAGAATCGACGCAGACGTCGTCTGTGTACTCCAACGTAGATCGCAATGATTCGGTATCCTTGCCGAGTTTCTTGTCACCCAACAATAACACCGACTGCTCCGAGAAACCTGACGTATGAGATGACATCGATTAGTCAATATTATATGACACTATCTGTTATCCCGTGATTTCACCCGTATTTACAACCAGTGGTTCCACTTTTAGGGAAATCATCGATTTAAAGTAGCGCTTAAGGCTTTTTAATTTTTTTAAGGATTTGGAGTTATTCAGGGTAAAATATTAAATAAAGGTAGCAATAACTTAGCACTTTGTCTGTAGTCTACTTCGTTGGTTTTCAGATTTTTAGCCAAAATTTGCAATATATAGGCAGTAGATAATAATTAATGGCGGCAACAAGCCCTCATTGATTTGTTTCAATTTTTTATTTTGCTTTTCGAAGTAAAAAAACAGGCTCGATTTTGAAACCAGATAATGCTATAATGAATGCGACAAAAAATTAAACACCAGTGCTTCAGTTTCAGCATCATATCATGTCTACTTCTCACGATAAATTGTTTCTTACTTCAAATAATTTATTTGTATCATTTTATTAAGAATAAAAATAGAACGATTTTGCTCTATTTCTAACTTTTTAAAATTTGCGCCCTACATCAGGGATTTTTACAGAACATTTCGAGGTATTTAGGGCGAATGTCAAACTTAATGGCAAATTTAAAACCCGTTAGTGGAAATACTGTTTATAACCTTTGTCACCTGCTTAAGAAGTAGCTTTCTGTAGGTAATAGAATTTTTTAAATCGGTTCAGTAGTTTCGGAGTCTATTCAATGCAAACAAATATCTAAAAGTCCTAATTCATTTATTTAGCTTGACGTTCACCTAGATCAACCAAAATTGCCACAAAGTTGCTCGTTGCTAGTTTAACCTGATACGTAAAATTATTCTTACCGATAACTTGTGCGGGATTCTTGCCGCTGCCGATTTTAAGGCCAGGCGTCGGGGTGACGAAAGATATTGTGTGTGCATTTTGTTCATAGTATGTACCGTAGACCAGTGCTCGGATGGCTTCCAACTGGGGAAATAAATATTTAGTATTATATATTGATTGTATAAACAAAAGAGATATTTCTATGCTTTCATTCACGTGTGAATCCAAAATTTACATAAAATATAATTTCATAATGTAAACAAATTACAACTGCAGAATAAACAAACTTCTTAAGTAATTTTTCTTTATCTTAAGTATCTTTGGAATATGAGTCTAATCGAATACGAGTAGCTATAATTGTATATGCTCACCAAGTATACTTGACTTCGGCAGTGTTCACCGATGGCAAAGATCGTATGTTTAACAGCACCAGGACGCAGCGGAAGATTAATCATTGATCGGTATCCGGCATCAATGTTTGTAAGTTCTATAATTTAAAACAATGGGTATTATTATAAAATCATTGAATGAATGAATGAATGAATGAACACTTTATTGTACTTGAAAATAAAATCAACATAACAAATTAATAACAATAAACAGTACATTGGCATGGCAGATGTGTGGAATATGTTAAACAATCGCGTTGTTCGTAACTCAACATTTAAAAACTTTACAACTAATAATATATGGTATTATTAACTTTCAAACAACATTGAAGAAACAATGGACAACCTTTTCCCATATTCTTTGGTTAGTTTGAATGAAATTTCCTAGTGAGTGCAGTATAAAGTAACATACAATAAACTAATTCCTATTTGTACAGTAATTTTCAATAAAATAAAGAGTTCTCTTACGGAGTGCTTCCCTAAGGGTGTCTACCAAGTTGGCTACCACTTTATAAGCGTTATCAACTTGTTCGTATCCGGTCTTGATCAATGGTGTAGACTGATAGCGGCTCTTGTCGGTAAACTGAACCTTCGCGTTCTTTAATTTCACTGTCAACACAAATAATAGATTATTACAATAAATCCCGATTATAAAATTAAAACTGTTTTCTATTATAGAAAGATCGTTAAATGAATATACAATATACAAAATATGGTATTAGAAATAATGATAGTATTGTACGATATGTATTTAAATATTCACAAAGGCTACTCAAATGAGTATTTAATTAAATTTGGGTAGCTAACAGCATTACAAAATATAAGTAGTTATATCTATAACATTTACAAGCTAGCTCTAAATGAATATAGGCTGCATCTACATTTGTTAATACCAAATAATCCACACCCAGCTCTCGTTCTCGCTTGTGGCATTAATAGGCGGATAATGAGTCGTCAAACTTACAGTCAGTGTCATAGACTATCGGGTATGGAGCGATTGATGTGATGCCGACCAGGTAGACCTTAATGTCTGTGATCTTCTTGCTCTTCAAGTTATCTACTAGCTGCGAGACCAGGGGAACGACCACGGTTTTGAAGGATTCCTCGGTACCCTAAAAATGTCAATTCAATATTACACAATCATCTAGATAAAGGTCAAAAGGCAATTTCAATGTCATACGAATATCGAATGAAATATTATCAATTTGCTTTAATTATAAAATTTTTCAGGCTATCACTATTCAACTTTAAGTTACAAATGCTCGATCGATGTCTATAATAAATAATTACGTAATTTTCAATTATAACAACTCAACAAATTTTAATAAATAAAATACTTCCCAAAGTGAAATCGAGACAGTATATCAATTTAGTAGGACTATATACTACTTATTTTATGTTCCGTTCACACGCGATAAGCGATCTAAGTTTGACTTACGACTGTTGTTTCGACGGTGACGACGATGTCGGCCTGCTTCTGCGGCAGCCTGAGTTCGTAAGTGTCGCCCACCTCCCTGGGCTTGTCGGCGTCGACGCAGCGCACGCACGCGGGCGGCATCAGCGCCGGCAGCAGCTCGGTCGCGGCCAGCGCCACGTACCCGCGCGCGATGTCGCACGCCTGCGCCACCGCCGCCGCGCCGCTCGCGCCCGATACCGCGTGCACGCACGCTTGTCTACAACCAATGACATGGTTTCATTTTACTATTACAGTATCTCTATTATTCGTTATTCAGTTTTGACACAATTTCGTATGTTACCTTTTTTATAGAAAATAGACAACAGAGTCATTAGTGTTATTTAAATGGGTATGTCGATTCACATATGTCTGAGGAGTTTATTATCACTCCATAAAAAAATTAAATACGTAAAATTTGCAAATTCTGTCGCTCGGTTCTATTTAACCTTCAACCGATAAAGCATGTCTTACCTGAAAGGCTTCGCGTCCAAGAACAAGCCGAGCGGTCTGAGGGTTGATGAGGCACCGAACACTTGTTCGCATGCGGCCGGCATGACACCGTGCATCTGGTGCGCCGAATGTTCCGGAGTCTTGACTTGAGGGCAGCTGCTGGCCAACCTGTACGAGTTGCCGAACTCACTCTCTGATGTGCAAATCTAAAAAAGCGAGAAGTCTGTTAATATTTCTAATTTCAAAAACAAACAATGTATAAGATTTATTATTAACCTATTTTCATTCCCATAGCTTAACGGACCGAGGTGGTTTCATTTGAATTTTATCGAAATCGAATCAGTAGTTTTCCTTTTATAACAAAACAAAATACGCTTTTCACGAAATATCACACAAATATTTAGTTAATATGGCTAGATATGGCCCCTTCCAGCTAAAAAACAAATGATTACTTAGAATTTATTCAAAATTCAAAGGTAACATTATATATTAGTGATGAAAGAAGTATAAAATTTTAAGAAAATAAGATAAAGCAACCGCACCTTTCCGTTGGGCATCCTGAAATCATCATAAGGTTCGTTGTTGCCATCTCCAAGGAGACCGCGCAATTTGCCCAAGTAGAACCCGGATACCTCCACGTAGCAAGTCTGTAGAATTAACAAACACGTTATTACTGTTCTTTAATATTTACCACGTCGAACTCAATTCATGCAATGTTGCACCGAGGGATAGAGTCAAATATTTAGGATTAATCATTTTGGTAATAATAGTAAAAGAAAATCTGAATATTTATTATTTGAAATTTATCAACGTAATTATTAGTGTCAGTGATATACAAACAAGATAATTTTTAGTGCGATGTAAAAATTAAACATCTAAGTAAAAAGTTACTTAAATGTAATTGATAGATAATAAATAAGGCAAGAAAATTATTCTTAATTAATGAATAATATTAAAAACAGAATCGCATACCTCGAATTTAGTCGACGAACACTTGACCAAGACATTTCCGATTGAACCAAAGGTGATAATGCCGCTGGTCTCCTTGACAGCGATTACGTCTTCTTTGATCACCGGGAATCCATGAACTTGACCGTCCAGGATAACCTATTAGAGTGAATTTATTTTATTAATATTATCAAAACATAAAACTTTTGGATTAATTGTAATTTGCCATGGCACATCGTTATCATACCATCATAGATACCATAATAGTTAAGACGCTTAAAGGAAAATTGTGTGAATTTTAAAATTATCAATTATAATTTGTGAAAACGAAAGATGAAAAAGTAACTTTTATGCTCTTACATGTACTGGTTTACATTAAAAGAGTAAAAAAAGTCACTTAATTTATTTAGTAAAGCCTCACCTGTCCGTTGTCCTTGATTTCAACAGAGGTGCCACTCTTGTCAACCAGTATGTAAGCCTTGGGTGCGCCAGCTGCCATCTGGATGGCGAGCGAGAAGTTCCTGTCCACGTAGTCGTGAGACAAAACGTACCGGCACGTACCCGGGAACGTCATGTGACGGCCATCAAACGTGAACACATGCTGGCCGTTCACGACCACGGCGCGGACTGTATAACAAAATATGATATCAAGATTATTTTCACTGTTGCATCGTATTGATTAGAAAATTCCAGGGCGAGAATATTCAATTTTAAAATTATGTTTAACACGTTGAAGTTAAAGTTGAAGCTGATTCACAGTTAGCAATACCATCAGTAATAAAACATAACCACAAATCAAATCTTTACGGTCCTATTATACTCACGTTTAGCAGGGAACTGGTCAAGTGGGTTGATGCTCTTCAGTCTGTAAGCGTTGAACAACTTAAGGGGATCTTCGATGTCACCGTTGATGAGCTGATTCAGCAGACTGGCTGATGGGGGACTGCTACCGATCGTCGGCATCGGACCGAATGATCCGGGTGACGTGAACAGCGACAACTGTCGGTTATACTACACATTAGGCTTTGGTATATTATAAAGTCTTGTATTGAATAATAGTAACAATAGTTAAAAATTAATAAAATTTTAAACCATTTGTTCAAACTACACAATTTATTTTATAATTAATTACTATTTTTTAAATAAAAAAAAAACTGAAATTTGTTACTTTAGTGTAATTGCCATTATTCCCTGTGACAAAAACTATGCAGAAAATAAAGAATAAGAATATAACGTTACTTATGAAAATAAACCAGATTATTTAGAAGTTACTTACCGGGTTAACGCTAGCGAGACTGGGCACGCCGAATTGTGAGAGCTGTGTGCGCGCAAACTGTAGCAGTGATGTGATCGCACGAGTCAGTTTCTGATACAACACACGAAGTTCTGTGTTTTCATCAACCTTCTCGTGTTGACGTTTCTGGAATAAACAAGTTAAAAGAATTAAATAATTTAATATATGCAAGTTTGACACGAATAATAGAATAATAACTATGCAGTGTAATATTACGTAATGTACAATTTTGGGGTATCGTTACATCGAATATATTAAGTATCCATGTAGGATTCTGTCAGATATAAATGCAACGATTTAATCAATAATTATGAAGTACCCAAGGAATATATACTGGAATTATATTAATTATTCTGTTATATTTATAAAGAAATCAAGTTATGTCACTCACAGTGGAATTTACTTTATTCGTACTTAAATAGAAACTAATGTGTGTTGATATTTTTAGATGATATTGTTGTAGTGTGTCACCTTCTCGAGATATTTATACAGCGCCTGGGAGAAGTCCTTGGCTTCCTGAGTGGGTAGTATCTGTTGTAGTGCCTCTTGAAGCTTAGCTACCATCTCCAGCACCATATCAGGTACCGCGAGTTCACCATACTATTCAAAAATAGATTTTAGATTTAGAAGTAAATGTATACATACGAACGAAGGAAAATGTCTTACTTCCTACTTTTGTATTCATGATTTTTAATTAATTTAAGCTATTAGAAGGCTTTTGTGTCTTGTGAGAAACTAACGAAGCAATTTTGTTACTTATATTATGCGTGGTACTTATCGACTTTATTTTAAAAGATATTTGATATATTACTTTAAGACTTACCTTCTCCTTTATCATTTCAAAGATAGGTAGTTCTTTGATTTGTTTAGAAATCTCCTCGAAGATCGCACCGGCCTTGGCACGGAACTCTTTCAGTTGGGCTACTACGATACGAGTTAGGTCTGAATAAACAAAAAAGAATTTATTTAGTTTTAACGTAAACAATACCTCATAAAGAAACTGTAAGTAAATATGCTTTTTCTTCCTCACCCTTAAAGATTTCGGCAATTGTGTTTGTGAGTTCCTGTAATTCGGCTTTATGTTTCTCGAAGAAGTCAGAGACTACTGCGGCGAAGTGTGCGACCACATCCAACAAACCGTCGAAGTACTCCTTGACGAGGGCAGCCATTGTCATGTACAGTTGCTTGATCTGGCCTTCCAGCTGTTGGATATATTATTTGTATATAAATTTATTACAGACATTTATCAAGTATCTTTCAACCTTATCAATTAACTTGATTTAATCACGGAATCTTGAACTAACGTACTGACTGATCAGCTGAGATTATTTAAAATAAAAAAGTTTATGTTATTTTTGTTAAATTTCGCATTCCTAATACTTATAATCGAAATTATTATAACATATATTTTTTGTCAAATTTATAAAATTCAGCTAACTAATACTATCAAAGTAAAATGATTTCTGCTTAAATTAATACAGTAATTTCTTCTTTAATATTACTTAAGTGATACCTAATTATTTTCTAATTAGCAATTAAGTAGTTGTACCTGTTTCTTATACATTTCTTCGATCTTTTCAGCGGTCTGTATGACAACAGTTTTGACCTTGTCAACAACAGGCGATGTCACTTGTATGATGTCATCGATGATCTTAGCTAAGTATTTTACTATGTGAGCCCTGTCGATAAATAAAGATAAAGTTGAACTGTAACGTTTAAACTGAGATTATTTATTGGTTAAAGGATTAGCGAACAACGTGTCTAAATATAATTATGTAATTAATAATTATTTAATTGCCCCTAATTCTTTAGAAACATGTGTAGAAGCCCCTGTTCATGTATTACTTACAAAGACTCTGAGATCTCTTTGAGCACTTGATCATTGGCAACTTCTTCGTATATTTTCTTCAGGTCATCTCTGTATGCCTTTTCCAGCTTCTCATAGGTTGGTTTTACGCGTTTCAGCGTCGCCTTAAAGTCTTCGCTGGCCTTATCTCCAAGTTGTTTGACGCGGCCTTCTAATGTTTCTAAGTCTTTCTTCAGCGCGTTCTGTAAAACACAGCATAATTATCTACTGTAATTATTTGATACGTTAAAATTTACTTTATAGATGACAATTTCGATCAAACGAATTCTAACGAGGTAATTTGTATTAAGTTTCAAATATAAATTATTATAAAATGGTAAAACCATGATAAAGTTTATTTATATTATTATCAAGGATGACTTTCAAGAAACTTACAAGGAAGTAGTTGAAATTCTCCTTAGAGATACCATAGTCACTCTTCACGAGGTTATCTTGTAAGAAGAGGGCGCCATGAATAATGTTTTTCTTGTCTCCACCAAGAATGATGTCTGCGCTGATGTCAACTCGCTTCTCAGGTTCGATGTGGCCCACAATGGATAACTTGCGACCAGATTCATCTGATAAATCACACTTACGTTAGATATGGGTTCTTCAATCATCATCAAAGAAATATTATATTTCTTCAAAGATATATAAAATAATTTAGCTATACTCTTAATTAAAAACGACTATCGACACATTAGTTTATGTGTAACCTGCAAAGGATCGGAACCTCATGAAATAAAATACAAACGCACTGAAACCGTTTAAAATTGTTTCATTCAAGTAATAACATTATTAAATTTTAGTGAATAAAATCTTATACTGTTCTCGTTTAAATAATTACGAGTATGTTCTTTGCAATCGATATTTGAATAGTTACCTAATTTTTTTATTGGATATAGTAGGATTGAAAAAATGCTACTATAACGGGTAAGACATAAAATGTACTTAAACAGATATAGATGAAATTATTATAAAATAAATAAATAATAATTATAATACCACATCCAATTAAATAGATAAATATTCAAGTCCGAGTGAGTAATAATCACCGCTATAACCTGTAGTGAACTCGTAGTACTGATAGTCGCGGATGATGGCGGACACCTGCACCGGTTTGCCCTCCAAGAGGCTGAACTTGAGACCTCCTTGTTGTAGACCCTCCTTCACCGTCGCCGTGCCTTCCAAGTCGATCACTTTTACAAGTGGCGTTTCCATCTAAAAATATATACCTTATTGGCTTTGCGGAAACAACCTCGCAGTTGCAATTTACAAAACTGCATCTAATTAATATGAAAAATTTACTAGTATACATTGTGTTATTACTTACATAAACTTTGACGTGTGTTGGGTTAACTTCAACTAGAAGCTTGCTCTCGCGTTCCTAAAACAAAATTATTATAATAATAACACTTTATTACGTTTAAAGCTATTATAATTAGTTAGCTTGTATAAAGTTATTTACATTTATTTTACGGAGTAAATTATTTTCTTTATCTATTTCTCATATAACACAATCGGCTGTTCTACAATTTTTAAAAATTCAACTTATTCAGTCGTGTATTGTATAAAATCGAATAAAGTAAACATTGAAACATTGGCCAAATCTAAGCAGCCAATTAACGCTAAAAAAATAGAAAATAAGCCACAATACTCACGCCAAGAGTAGGATGGGAGATGGATGCACCAGATTCATATTTGAAGCCATCCTTGTTTTGGGTATTTAATTTAGCGCGAACCTTCATTAGTGCTTCCTGTAAATTAATTATCACGTTGAAAAGGTTATTTGGAAGAGAATGTTATTGATATAAACATACGGTTGCCGGTATCCACTCTAGCTTCACGATTTATTTTGTAAATTGGTTTTCTCATTTGAAGTGCTCAGTAAATATTAATATAATCAAACTTCTACAGATCCAGAATTAAAAGAAGAATAAAATCTTCTGAAGTGGCAGAATATACTAATCCATTACTCTATATTTAATGTCAAAGAAAGACCACTTCATAACTTTTCTAATAAACGATGAAATAATATCTTATAATAACCAGGAATCATACTAACTTTGCCCAACTTAGGATGGCTGAATCCGACTTCAGCTATAGCGCTGTGTTCACGTTCGCTACCAGTAACGTCAACCAAGAATCTGGCGCCAGACTTGAGGCTCGGCTTGTTCTTGTCCGGGTGCAGGGTCACCTCTCCGCGGATAGGGAACGGCATCGCCTTGTCAGTGGGATAAGATACGAGGGATTCCAGAGCAATCACTCGAGTTGGGAGTGTGATGCTGATTCCAGCAGGGAAACCTAGACCATGATTATTATTAAATACATGCTTATTATATGTGCTAACATATTTCAATTAATTTTAGTTTCTTTTTGTCAGAAATGACAGTGATTCAGGAAAAAGATGGGATACCAATCGGACAACAGCTTTATATTTTTTTTACAAATCAACATAATTAGATTAATTTTATCAAACTGAAAATATCTTAACATGCAGGCGTGATGATAACATTAAAAGCTTTGCATGGGACGAGAGGACATGGGAATCAAACATCTATCATCGAATTGCTAAACAATCATAAATAAATAATCATCATCATATTTCTTTTGTTTCTGATTTTTCTTTTTTGTTATGTAAATAATAAGGTTCTATGTATACGTACGCCCATGCACTGGTTTGGCATAGATCTGCAGATGGTACTTGTTTTCGTTCTTGTTGACATGCAGGTCGAGTGAGTGTTGAGGCAGTTTGCCCTCGGCCGCTTCGCTGCTCACTTCCAGTCCGAACTCTGGCGCCACACCCAACTTGCGCAGGTCGAACGCCACTACTAGCGTGTGCTGCATCACTCCCGGCTCTATGTACATAGTTTTACGCACATATTAATATACACTTTCCACTACATATATGTACATCAGCGTCATCATTGGCATTATGTTCTACGATTCCCGGCTTATTATGTATACCACCATACCGATCATATTACTGTACAATTTCCATAACAGATGGATCAATGTCATCTAAAGATACTGTTAGAACTACAAGAAAAGATCTAAAAATATCTTTCTATTAACTTCACTAATAAATTAAGCAAGTTCTACTTACTCTGCACATTGAGCTTGGAATGTAGCTCGGCGTTGGCGCACTGTTTCTTCTCTTCGCAGTACACGTATGAGGTCTTGTATTCAAGGTTGGTAACTCGCGATTCTGCTACATAACTGCGCTCTCCGATTGCCACATTCAAGAATGTCTAATGGAAAACACAAAAATTCAATATAAAATTCCGCTTTTAAGGTAATTAACAAAAATAACTTCAGGTGTTTATTTGCAATGATCTTTAGATAATTGCCAACTGACTAACCTCGACTCCTTGTTCATTTCCTTCAGTGAGAAGCGTACGGATATACTTGAAGTTAGCAGATTTCTGTTCATCACGAACTTTAACGGAGCCCGAACCCTCAACAATGGTCTTGGTGCCTTCTTGTTTGCTGATGTACGAGGTGCTGGAACAAAAAAATGGTAAATAGTTACAAATATTGATATGATTGATCGATATAATGACATTGAATTAGATTTAAGAGATGTTTAAATTTCAAATTAGAGTATCTTACAGAAAATTGAAGAGATACGATACAAAGGACTCGCGGTATTTAAAGAGTTTCTAAATGATTTATATGTTAAAGATTCTGATAAATAACTGAATTCGGGAGATAGTATTAGCTCAGTATCTCAAAGATAGGTTTGCTCATAAAATTTGATATTTGTATAACTTTTAAAAGATTGTTTTACCTTCCACTAAGTATATTCTTGTTGTCATTGACAGCATGGAACTCCAACCGTTTGCCACTGCCAGCGTCTTTACTGGAGATGTCAACTTTGTAGTTTTTGAGGCCGAGCTTATCAGAGTTTGCGGCCAGTTTTAATACAATGTTGTCGTTTTGCACGCTAACTTCGCTAACCGCAGTAATGGAAACATCCCGAATGTTCTCGATTATAACTTCCAATTTGCCTTGGCTCGAACTCAAAGAATTACCCTTCAAGAAGAACCTGTAGAAAGTTTTACATCATTTTAGTGAACTATGTAAAGATAATGGGACTGCGACATGTGTCTACCAATAGGTGATGTTATACCACGATTGCTATAAACCAAAAATCATAATTAACGGCCCATAATACACCACGTGGCTCCAGCGCAGATTTAAAGGTATTAGCGAGTGCAGGTACGACCAATAGTTTAACGTGCTTTCCGAAGCATTCTGGTGCTATTAAGTAGGTGTTATTGTCTTTCAAATACAGTTCCAATAATAGATTTAGAATTTATATAAGATTGGTGAGAAATATGATTCAAACTATTAAAAAGCTGCAATGGTTACCTGCTGGTCTGTGGCTGGGAGGGGCTGGAGTATTTGAGGTCGACTACGGGGTTGGTCTTGGAGTACACCACCATAGACTCGGACTTGTACTCGCGACCGTCAGCTGTCACCACTACTACTGACGACACCGTGTCAGGAGATGGATTCTGTATCAGGAGAAGATTTTTTAAAATTATATTTTATTGATAACGAAAGTGGCAGTTCAAATAAAAAATGTTTCATCTATTGATAGTATTTACAATACCAATAATTACCTTAGTGAACACACTGACTTCAAGTTTCTTCACTTTCTCAGCCTGTGGTGCATTCCCGCGGATTTTCACGTTGTACTCGTTGTTGTAAGCACTGGCGTCCACAGCCACAGAGGCAGATTTACCTTTGCCATATTGAGACTTCATTTCGACGTTAGCGTATTTCTTCTCACCTAAATCATACAAGTTGTTTTATAACTATGTACGCAAATTTAAATTTAATTTCTTTATGAAAAAAAATAATGCAAACAAGCACTGACGAAATCAACAATTTAATTATAAAACTTTTTATGTAAGTTTACTAAAAATCAAACTACTCCGATGTATACCTGTTTTAAACGATCAGTTAATTTGTGACAATGAAAACATACTGTAAATTTTTCTTATTTATTTTAGATATTTTAATAATAAAAAATCTAGTAGCATTTTAAGATTAAGAACGAGGAGTAACTTCTAGCAGAATTCGAGCACTGGACGAATAAAGTAGTCAGTTAATAACCATTTTTATTAACTCATTTAGGTTTGTTGTGTCTTTGTGTGTGTTATTTGTTTTACCTTCCAAATCGGCCTTGTATGTGCCTTCGATGACGAAAGGTTCGTTATGTGGCACCAAAATTTTGACCTTTCCATGTCCATCTTTTACACCCGCATTACCACTAGCCACCAGCTTGTACACATCTGCGTTCACTTGTACCGATTGTGTCGTCGTATACTGTAATAAATACTATAATATAAGTATAAATACAGCCAATTATAGAAGTTTTTTCACATTCCATTCCACAAATTCCAACTAATTATAGAAGCGGACACAATAGTGGAAAAATATTACGGTATTTTTAATTTGATAAAGCAAAAAAGAGTGACAAAGTCAGGTAGCTTAATTTTTATATTAATCATGATATTTTAAAAATGTTTTATTCCACTTGACACTACGAAACTTACCTCGACGGAATCTTTATCAGTTTCCAGCATAAAGAAATTAAAGAATACTTTGATGTCACGGAAATCTTCGATTGGTAGACGTACAGATAATGTAGCATTTTCATCGTATCTGCAACAAAAACATTTCAAAGTTTTTTTTTAAAGGATTTCATACTTGAGTGATTTTAAAATGTCTAATGTTCATAATTAAAAAACAAGGGTCCTTGACTTAAAGAAAATAAGTTTTTTCGTATATATATAAAGAAATATACTGTTTATCGACTTCAATTAATAATACATCGGTCGCTGTCAGTCCTATTGTTCGAGCAATGCCCGTAAATTTTAGCAAATTTTTACCTGGTGATATGTTTGGAACTATGACTGTCGCCAATGACAGTTACGATGTCATCTCGTAGCTCGAAGCTGTAGTTGTCTCCATAGTTGCCCTTCATCAGGATGTTGCAGCCGGTGAACATTTCGAGGTCATCAGAGTTGGGGTAAACAACGTCTGCCATTAAAGAGGCTGGTTTTTGGATCAGGTTGCCGTTTACATCGCTCTGAAATAGATCAATGGATTACTTATAGTGATCGTTTAAAGTATTAGCGAAGAGTGATTTTGAAAGAGGAAATATACAACTGTGAAGCTTTCCGTTCTACTGCAGTGGCGTTTTGTTAACAATAGGGACCTATTTTGTGATGAGCAGTTTTGGCATATTATGTTGATGATTATTGGATTTTATTATTATATTGTTTTGTTTTCAAAATTTCAGCTATCAGCAGCTTAACCACTTATTTCATTTAAAATAAAATAATAAGTGTATGGACTTACCTTAAAGTAGAACTTGATTTTATCTCCTTCGGCCTGATTCTTCAGTATGAAAGCGTTCTGCAGTTGCTTTCCATCCTTGAGTTGGATTTCCACACTTCCTTCATAGTGGTAGAGACTCTTCTCTACATCGCCGTTGATGATCTTCCCCTTGTACACTATTTTAGAGGCTGCTCCTCCTCTCTTCACGGCGTCTGAGAGAACTAACTCGGCATGACCGTTATATACCTATAAACATGACGTGAAATTTTTAACAAATAAATGAAAGTAATATAAAAGATTTAAGAAAACTTTTTAATTGGTACGATCAATCATAACATAGTTAGTAATCGCAAGAATGCAGTTTTTAAGCGTCTAATATGTAAAAAATTCAATCTTTTGAACGGAAGTCAATGTGTATCTCCAATTGCTTCAGAGTATGTACTTTGAATATTAATAATATTGGTAGTTATTGTATTGATAGTGTTATTTTTTGTGAATTTATTATATTATGCAATATCTTTTGATAAGTTTAATTTCATAGATTGTTTAAAATAGAAACCAACGTAGTAAACAGAAATAATTTAGACATCCCAGTTAAAGACATAATTCACTATAAAAATCACCATCTGCACAATACGTACGTTGTCCTTGGAGGTAACATCTCTATCTAGTTTCATAGATAGACATCTCTCGGTTGGAAGAACTACTTCCACGTTGGCGTGAGATTTTCCTTCTAGAGATCCATCCAAATGAACGTTCACTTCAGTCTTTTGTCCACCATATTCCAGCTTGTTCCTAAAAAATAATATAATATTTTTCAGTATATTCAGTATAGTATAATGAATGCAAAAATTGTTAAAATATAATAATAATATATCATTTAATAAATATCTTGTATTGACGAAAATACAAGCAATGCAAATCGCAATCAAATATGATCAATAATTTTATTTTGAGCAGCAGTAATGTCATCAGTGACAATTTTGCAGTAATCATAAATGCAGTCATTATTATGGCAATTTACTAACTTGGTATCGATAAGTTTATCAGTCTTCTTGTTGGTAGTACTGAAATGGATCTTGTCATTATTATCCTTCTCGAAGTTAAGATAGATGTCAACGTCAGCGTTGTATACAGGGTCTTTCACAACAAACTTCACGTCACCTTTAAGCTTGCGTTGAGACTGAAAATACATAAACATGTGAAAAATTATTTTCAATATCTTTTATATACGATTCCTTCGTACTTCAGAAACGTTGTGAGTACTACCATTGATCTTGGCAATGTTGATCTATAACTCCCACAAATTTAAGTCCAGTCATAACTAATGCATGTTTTTTCCAAATTTACAAAATATTCACCTTTTTGAAATCAACGATGATCATTCCATTGCCTTTGCCGTCGCTGTCAGTGACCTTGAACTGTCCGTTAGCGGACACAGAATCCCTAAGGATAAGCTTCAGCTGTCCTGATGGGTTCGCACCACGCGTGATCTTCAGTAGGTAATCCAGGAAGTCTCCCTTAGAGTAGGAGATTTTAGCGTGCGAAGAGTACAGTTTAGGGTTTTCTATTACTCCAATGTCGAATCTGATGAAAATTGGATTTATTTAAACTCAATTATCATGTGCATGGAAAAATTAAAGGTGGGGACACTGTACTATATTTAATTTATTAACTCGAAATTTTAATTAACAACTTGTCTTTTTTTTATTTTCAAATAAAATTTAATAGATTTTCTTTAATAGAATAAGAATCAGTTATTTTAAATATATATTTCGTTTGGAGAGTTTTTAAAAATGAAGTAACAATAGCTTGAATCATAACTTACTTGACATCTTCACTCTTTGAGCCGGCTGTTATTTTAAGATGACCGATAGCACCAACGTTAATGTCATTAGGCTTATTTTTGTGGAGCACAACACCCGATAGCTCGTATTTTCCGACATTCTTGATCTGTATGTAATTTTCCAAGTTTGATTTATCAGAGGAAACAATGTCCCTCTTGGCTAATAATTCGAAACCTTGTGTGTCAAAGCCAGCCGATAATTTTACGGAATAGTCTCCTTGCTTCTTGATTTGGGTCCTGGAATCGAGTTCAAACTCTCCTTTCCTATCAAAGTATTGACCTTCGATGTCGATATCAAGTTTTCTGGGATCCGCTTCAGCGTCGACTTTGATCTTTAGAGGTAGAGCTAAGATTTCAACTAAAAAGAAGACAGTTCGAATTAAATTATTTAACTTAAAAGGTTGATTTTAAATCAATAATATTTAAAATGTCCATATACATACATTTGTTTTTAGTGATGACGTTGTACTTTTCAGCGGACTCCACATGGTATTTCAAAAGTTGATTAAAGACGACACGACTACGAGAGTCGGTAAGGTCACCACCATAGATCAGATCAATGTCATTATGGATCTAAAATAATATAAATTTTTAGTAAAATCTCCAGGTCAACCAGTGAACTATGTAATTCTTTCTTTAAAATCTAATAGGCAATACTCAATTTTCTAAACTTACCGTGTCTCCAAATTCAAAGTGGCCATTGACTTTAAAGTTGATATTGGGATTGAGATTGTTTTGGAATTCGAGTTTGGCGTCGTGGCCTTTGAGAGAGCCGCTCAGCAGGCAGTTATAGTCTCCTTGCTTTGCTTTTACGTCTAGTTCCATACCGTTAGGCAACTGGCTGTATTGGCCGTTGATGTCGACCACGTCTTTAGCGTTTGGAAGGTGGAATTTCACCCCCTTCAGTGTATATTTCGTGACTGGAGGGCTGCTCTCCCTAACGATCTCACCTTCCACTTTGATAGATTTCTTGCCTCCCTGTTCAGGCATCTCGTATTCGATGATCGGTCGGAATACGCTGCGTCTGTCATTTCCTTGAACGGCAAAGCCTGCTTTAGCGTAGTACTCTGATTTATCAACTTTTCCTTTAAGAAGAACAGCATATTGGGAGGAGGAAGTATATAGCGAGGCTTGACCATACAACGTCTTGATCGGGGAATCCAGGGATAATATGATCGATTTTTCATCATTGTTGTTAACTAATTCTCCGGTAATTTGAGTGCGACGATTCTTGGACCCTGAGGAAACATAAAAGAATTAAATAGAGTCTTACAAAAAAGTTAAGGAAATCATGAAATATTTTAAATACGTTACCTTCGGCCTCGAACAGAAGTTCAAAACTGCGTCTCTCGGGGTTAGGGCGGAAGACGCCCTTGATGTGATATCCGCGAAGGTCATTCTTTTCGAGAACCAATTTCACCTTGGAAGCTCCGGTTAATGGATAGCGAGCGAAGAATTTAGAGACGGATGCTTGAGCATCAGGGCCTGTAAAAGAAACAGGAAGTTATTTCACTGCCAAGCTGATCATCAAATAAATTTAATACTTTTACTATATGACTTACAAACGAACTTACCAGAAACAGAGAACGGTAAAGACAACTCTCCACAGAAAGTCACGCCGAGCAATCCGGAGAGTTGGTCGAAGCACGCTGAGTACTCCTTCCTGGCAACGTCAGTTTTTACGGCGACTTGTTTTTCTAGTTGTCCCTTCTCTGCGGTGAAGTAAACTAGATCGTTGGAGGCAGTGATGATTTCCTGTTTGTCTATGGGCAGTCCAACTTGTAGATCAAAACCGTTACCGTTCTCCAAGACCTTGGCGATAACGTGAGCTCCGGTTGAAGAGTGAAGGTTTGTGACGACTTTGAGACCAGTGGCGACAACGTCTGCGTCCACCAGGAATAAGCCTGCTAGTTCGATATCAGCGCTGGGCACTAGCTTAATGTCAACTTTAGCATTCTGAGGATTGCGTATAATTTGCCGTACATCTACATTGGTAGACATATCGACGCGGGCGGTAGTGGAACCTACAAGATCCAATTTCAGAGGGAATCCAGTTGAGGTGGGATATGCCAACTCAGCATCCAGAAAGAGAAGATTGCTGCGGAGTTCATACTGAAAAAAAGTAAGATCAATTGACGCAATGTTAAAACTAAAGTCAGTTAAAATTACTGGCGAGAAAACACATGATAAATATAAAATGAAATAATTTAATTTAATGAATCAAATTGTAATTGTTAATAACAAATATTCAATGTTATTTAAATTATTCAATGTTTGTATGCCTTTGCTATTATTGTACCAAAATTGAAATATAAATTGAATCATCATTAAACTCACTTGGAAATTTTTGAGACTGTCGAGGACCTTGTCACCCATCTGCAACTGCTGTTTGATGAACTGATGGAAGTCGAAGCTTTTGTCATCACCAAAAGACAAGTACAGAGCGTCGGTGCCGAATAGTTTCATGTACATGTCCAGTTCTAGTTCGTTGTTGTAGGGTTCCGCTTCCTCTTTCAACTGATAAAATGGAACAAAAATGGCTTTTAGGGTTAAGTCATGAAAACGATACTTCTTAATAAATACCAATAAAAAATTTGATAAAGGATAAAATACATGTCATTAGATTTTTTATATAAAGAAAAAGCAGAACACCGTAGAAAATTGGGGGATATTTTGGCAGAAATAAGGAATAATGAGGTGAGTGTTGACTTAGAAGAACAGAAAATAAATATCCTCTCTTTTGCCTATATTGGAACAAGAACATCAAGAGGAAGATAAAGTTTACAATAAAGAGTTTTAGGGACAATCAGGATATACAAAGTACAATAATGAATTATAGTTACATGTTTATCAAAGTTGTCGACATCAGTCTTGACGGATCGGCGACCTCTTAGATGAGCGTCAGTTTCCTTCTTAGTATCTTCATATACTTTCTTGATATCATCGACGATATCCTGTGGGTTTTTAGATCTGAAGGCGCTGCGTGGTCCGAGGAAATGTTCAGCCACTCGATCCAAGTTGCCTTGGCGACCGCCAACCTGAAGTGATAGTTGTTTATCTTATAGTAAAATATCATAATGACACTACAAATGTAAAATTTATAAAATATAACTAAATGAGTATATTAACAGAAAATATTTATGCACAAAGAAGCTTCGCCTCCAGCTACAAGGAAAGGCTTGTACTTGACACTTAAAAATATCGATCGATATATTCACTGTAATGTTTACTTACCTCGAGAACGTTGTAGTTTTGTCCAAAGATGCCGACGGTTAGATTAAGGCTGGCTGAACGCGGGAGGAAAGAGTCCTGGGAGTAGATGACCGTTTCTTCTACAGACCCACCTACGCCCAATGCGTCCACTTCGAAAGATGCCTCGCGGTAGAACGAGTATTTCCTGGAGTGTTTTTAAATAGACGTTATATTGTGAATAGAATCGTTGAACACTAGATAAGGTAGTTACGTACGAACAAAAGGTAGGTATGTTGTCTTTGAAGGGATGGATCAATTAATGAAAATGATTCTACAAACATGTTAATGAGTGAGAATTTTAAATTAAAATATCGCTTCGTAAATCTAAGTAGGTACAATTCTTGTATTTTTTTTAATAACAGTATCTCAGCAAAAGTTAAATTTTAACGTTTGTTTGTTAAAGAGTTTATTTATATGTTTTCAGACGTACCTGTCATCGACGTTGAACTTGTTAGGGGTACGGATGAGGGAGTAGTGCTGGCGAGCGAGTTGCTTGTCAGGGTTCGTGGACGCCCGGATGTGACGTAACGAGGACGTAATGAAACGGCCCACTGAGAATACGAATACAGTGATGATTATGTGAAGAAAGCTTCATAATGTTCTAGTTAAGTATTAAACGTACATATTAAAGCTTAGTTCGGTTAACGTTTGGATTAGCATAAACTGAGAGATCAGTCTTCTTTCATAACATATGTGTTTGGCAACAATTTTGTTTTACGCTTTAAGAACAACTTCTGGAAGAGTTTGCCCATCTACTGTTTGTATAGTTAATTTATTATAATCGCGATTCCTATTAAAACATTTATTAAGGGCAAACAGTTTAATATTTAAAGCGTTGAAAGTGAGTATTCTTAACAGCTTAATTAATGACAAAATAACAGCAAAATAGAGAAAAAATCTTTTCAAATATATAGAAGTTCTTCAGTTTCAGAACGAAAGTACTTTGATTATGAAGATATTTTTTTGTATATTTTGAGTGTCAGAATACGGAGGAGATTCATGGAAATGGACATGTTACCTTGGTGTACAGGTTCGGTGTCAAGTAGTCTCTTGATCTCGTTGGCTGATGTTCCGCAAGGACACGCAATAACCGCCAGATATGCCTTGATACGTAACTCGGAATCCAATTGACGGTTCTTCATTATGTCCAAACCACTCTTCTTGATCTGACGGAAATCCAAATAAATTAGAATTTTACTTTTTCTACTGAGACCGTTAATAAAATGGCTTTTGGCTAGCTTTAATTTTAAATAGGTCCAATATTATTCTCGTTGTTCCTCTAGTTAAGCTAAATTGCATATTTGAATCGATGGGTTATGGCTGGTTTTTTTCAGTTTATTTTGAATATGTTTATAAGAGATATAATAATAAAGTGTACCTTAGCGGAGCATGGGTCAGCAGTATAAGCTTCCAATGCAGCGACACGTACACGTTGTTTGACTCCAGCGTCTGTAGCGCATCTGATCACTTTGTCTACGAGACTGTCTTCCAAATGACGGATATTGCGGATGCCTTTCAAGATGAACACGGCCTAGGGGATAAATTAAAGTTAAGAGACTAACATCATACACAGTAAAAAGATATTGCATTGTTTTTTTAGCATTTGAAGAAACTGACTTTAAGATTAAAATTTTACTGCATTATTTAAGGAAACTAATATTATTAACTAAAAATGACTTAAATTTTTATATCACACGTTCTTTAAATTTGTTCTATGACCATATAAAAAAGAATTTATCCTACCTATGATCTTAGGTCTAGTAGAGCCAAAATACAGACTCAGTATTCGGAAATAATAGTAAAGTAAATAAAAGTCCAGTATCTCCAATGGCTTGAATCTATTAGTATATAAAGAAAGATTAGTATTTTAAGAAAGCAAATTTAATATAGAGGTGATAAACTTTTTTGTTGGACGGACTGTACACTATAGAGGAAATTTTATTTGCTATAACTAATACTGACCTCGTCTTCAGCCCGTTTGCCTTTAGCTCTGCAGTTGAGTTTAGCTCCGAATTTCTGGCTAAGATCAACCACGCCGCTAGCATCACCGCCATGACAGTTGTGTTCACGACAGTACACACCCGCGAGAGCTCCCACGCCAATGTACACTTTTTTGTTCTTAGAGCGATCGACTAAGCTCTGGAAAGTAAAAAAACAAAATGTTTTATGAGCAAATATCAGAGTTTTCTGAAAGATATTCACATTATTTAGTTTTCTTTTTTATAAAATATATATTGTAATTCTATAACCACCTTGGTAATTTATTGTCTTTGTATTGAATAATTTAAAATATATCTTGTTATTAATATTATTTGATAAGGTTTGGTTTATAAAATTTTATTTATCAGACCATACCGCTATGAAGAGTCATCATACTTACAGCGACAGCTTTCACGGATTCATCGGTGGCATGCCTGGCGCCAGCTAGAGTAAGATAGAAGATTTCTTCTTCGATGTTGCTCAGTTGTCCTTGTTTTAAGATTGCTACTGTGGCCTCGACGCTGGGCCCAGTACCAGCACGGAACAGACCATCCAGGAATACTCGCCTAAGCGCAATAAATTATTATTAGTTCGAAATCATCATAACCTTTAACCATATCTTTGGAGTTGAACTCCTTCTTTCAAAATATACTAGTAGAACTTTTTTAACGGCAATATTTTGTCTGAGATATGGGAGAAGACAATATAGATTAGAGAGTATATCGTTATTTGAGTATCAAGTTTAAAGCACCTTTACTTTTTCCAAATTAGCAAATTTTTTTTGTTTATTATTTTTTTTTGATACTATGGGAAAGAACTCACTTCTCAACTTTGTTGTTCTTGACTTGATTGAAGATTTTCACCAAATCATCCTTACTCGTGGTACGCAGAATCTGTCAGAGATATAAAATTTGGATGTAGTTGTATAATGAATAATATATAGGCGAATGACATTGAAGTAAGTTAATACGAGCTCATGCAAATTTGTAATTTAAATTAAATTTAATAGTTTTAAATAGTGTTTTTAAGTGAATGTTTGTTTCTGATTTCCTAACAATTATAGTGAAAAAATTTGCACAGCCAATCAGGAAACCAAGATCAACTTGGTTTCCTGAAGGCAACTTAGAATTATTGATATTAGAAACGATTACAAATAAAAATGATTTTTGAGAACAATAAAGAAGAAATAGAAAGGTACTGCAAATATTTCTCACCCTGATCAGTTGCGCAAAAAGGCCAGCAGATTTAGAATTAGCTTCTGTGCCAACGGCCTTAGCGGTCTCTTTGACAGTGTTGAACGCTGTGTTGTAATTACTGGTGGATGCTACCACACCGTGCGGGTTCTCGAAAATAATGCTGCGGGTCTCACTGCATTTATCTAAAAGGTAAAACATCGGCGTAAAGAAGAGAAATATTTCTTATCTCTCATTAGAATACCTTCTTGCGTAAAAATGTTGTAATTTCTCAGTTTTAGTTTATAATATTGAAATGAACTTTATTGAGCAATGTTCCAAAGCTGAAGGATGACATCCAAAAAAAATCACACATCTTTCCGGCTGCATATGCAATTATTAACATTCAAATAAGTTATGTTCCTTCCTCTCTTGTAATTTCATCCACAAGGAAGAGCTGTAGTCCAACAGTATAACTGTAGCAATATCTACATTATAAAGTGGTAAAGTTTCTAACTTTGTTTTTTGGTAAGGGATAATTTTCAAAAATACTGACCCAATTATAAAAATTATTTACCCTACGGGAAGCTACATTATATGCGGTTGATATATAATTTACATAGGAAAAGTCGTAGGAAAACAGCTAGTTATATATAATTTGACTCACTCGCAGCTGCACCACCCTGGCTCTTGCCAGTAAGAGTAAGCTTGGTGTGCACTTTAGCTCTTGCTCCGTTCTCTCCCACAGAGAAGGGCATGTAAAGGTATTCCTCGTTGGCAGCCACCTTTTCAGGAATTCCATTGTTCACTTTGGACTCTACATTCAGGACTGACTGGAGTACTTGGGTGCTTTTGACCTCCTAGAATATATATAATAATGTGTAAGTATTATTTTTGTTAGATTTTATATTAACCGATTAATGGCTAATTTGTAATATCAATCTCAATTAACAAAATATAACTATTATCAGCATAAAAAAACAGAACGCATAAAATAAATAAATATTTTTAGTAAACTAATGCTGACAAAGTTCCTGTTAATTCATTAGAGGGGCTAAGTGCTTGAATTTCACATTAGTTTATATGCTATTTTTTCTATAACGAACCAACTATACTTACAGCAGTGGGGTTGTATACGGCAGTGATGAGATCATTTTTGCCCTGTTCACGGAAAGCGCAAGCGGATAGGTCACGGGTGCGATGGACCAATACCGCGCTGCCTTCCTTTGAAGACGAGACATCGGTGGGGCAAACGCCAAACACATCGGTCTATATGCATATATGAAAAAAAACGTTTTTAAATAAAATATATAATTAAAAATATTCAACGTTAAAGTAATGAAAGTATAAAACACCAATTTTTCTTCATTTGCCATGTTTTTAAATATAAACAAAAACGAGCCAATTAATATCGATGTCAATTTAATAACCTGAGTAGAAGACTTTTGCTCTGTCTGCAGCAGGGAGATGATGGCTCTCTTGATGTTGAGGGATCGCCGTGTATCTTGATCTTCAGCGCAAATCTCAGGGCCGGTTTTGCCATCTTGCAGAGTGAACAATATAGGCTTGTCGATACCAGGAGGGCTTGAGAATTTCTAGGGAAAGAAAGTGACACTTGTTTATAACCTTAAAAACTTGAAAAGACGCATAGCAAGAGTTTCTATTCTTTGTATTTTTTAATGAATCACTGAAAGTTATAGTAGAGATAAGTTAGCGAAATGTGTACCTTTCCATCAGGCCCTGATATGAGGACATTCTGCACTCTGAGTTCATTGACGCAGTTGCCGATTGAGGTCACGACGGCCTGCCCTACGAGCTTCACGCTAGTCTCCTGTTTATCAGCACTGGTCAAGTAGATAGAGACGGTACCTTCGACTCCATAATTATACTTATGCCCAGTCAAGAATGTCGTTGAAGTGCCTAAAAGGAAATTTATAAATATGACATTAATAATAATAAGAAATGGAAACTTGTTTAAATAATTTAGAAATCGTTCATTTATTGTAGTGGCCGTTGCGTTGTAATGATTGACCAATTTAAAATCACAGTTAATTTTGATTATGTATGATTGCAAAGATGTAAAATAAAATAAAAGCAGAAAGAATGTCGAAATGTCTTGCTGATTAAACTTATTAAGTAATCACCAACAAAATTTATACAATAATTTGTATTATCACACAATATAGCTTCATAGAAATATTTCATATTTTCAAAGTGAAACCTATGACATATAAAAAATATGTGAATATACACACTTACCTCCTTTACATCCTAATGAGCATTTATCTGTAACAAATAAAGCAATTTATGTCATTAATCAAGAGAGTAATTATAAACATGTTGTTCAGTAATTATTTACCGCGTAACTTGATAAAAATATACCACCAATGAACTTTGATAAATAAAACGATTGCGACGATCAAAATAAGGACAGTTCTATCGTAAATTAACTGCTGTGATTTATCTTCGATCTAAAATTACTCTATCAACAATTTAATGTTGCATATTATCAGAAATATAAATTCTAAAAGAATTATATGAACGCAACATAAAGAGTGGAATTCAGTACTAGTTTTGTGTATGATTGTAATATCATTTAACTGCACTTTAATCACCCGCTTACATCTTACTCTCCCACGACTCCTAGGTTGGCTGGAAGAGATCTCTTCTAGAGATAAGCCCACCTTTGTAACAAATTTATTTACTTGTTTTTATGTAAAATGTTGAGTGCAATAAAGAGTATAATTTGTAATAACAGCACGACTAAATGCTAAATTAATTTTACAAGGTTATAATAATTCATTGAAATTGAACGGAAGTAAATTTTAATATTGTTCGATAACAAATAGTTATAATTCCATTACTTGTTTAGTAATTTAAATATTATAACAATGCAAATAACTAAATCTAAGAAAATGATTACGATATCAGCTAAGTTAAAGTTCAATATAGAACTATTTAATCAGTTATGTAAATACAATAACAACTGTAGGTATAACAATTAATAACAATGTATCGTGTCCGGATGAAAAGCCGGGTTCAAATTTTATCAATATTTGCAAGCTTTATGAATAAGTTGTCCTTACAGATAATGATAATGTAGAGGTAGTTAGAACCGAAAGCTATAGTAGATAAAATACGACCTTTGAACTCCTTAGTATTATTTGCAATAATTTTATTGATAAAGTTTATTGTAATTATAAAGTAATACAAATTATTTTAGAGGCTTCGGAATTATATACATTTAAATTTCATACCGTATCGTTTAAAGATTAAATAGAGAAAAGTATCACTCTTATGACTGCACAGCATAAAATATGATTGAAAAATTGTTTAGAAAATTAACTTTTCAATATATTTTCTTTACAAAGAATTTTGAAAAAAATCAGAGTTATGAGCCCCGTTGGTGTTATCATTTTCATGTATTTTTTGATAAGTAAATAATATTAATATGGCATAATGAATGAAAAAAATTATCTGACATATTAATTAAAATTGTAACATTTTGTTTTTTCATTTATATAGCATATAATATTTAGTAAAATAGTACAAACAAACATGGAAAAATTATAAATAACGATGGTCATGAGATCACTGCTATACTAAAGATACAAAAAGCTCAAATCAAAAGAAAGCGCTATGATCGATGAGCAGCGTGATCAAATTGGATAATCACAATTTCTTTCCTCTGCGGACGATCACTCGACCCCACTAGCGATTACTCAATTTGAGTGGGGGGGACTATATATGTATGTATCCCTTTGTTTGGAGTTTGGCGACCTGGGGAACGAATCTGGGTCTAATTTTAAACGGCAAGTTTATTAGAAAAATAAATCGTTTATCTTTATAACCCAAGGTATTCTGCAATAATTTCGGTTAGAAAATTTTCATTCACACTAAGATTTCCTAGAACACTAGGTAATAGATGGAATTTTATTTTTCGTTACACAGATATTGACACTTTTAATGATTGCAGTTCGGGAAATATGATATATTAAGATCTATAAAGTTTTTCATCTTCATTAGCTTCGACAATTTTTAAAAATACTGAGAAATAATACTTCATATCGGGAGTTCATAGTAATATGTCAGTTTAATGATACAAACAGTTAATAATAAAATATTTCCATGTGTTTCGAACAATATAATGGTTCTGAAGGCATTGAATTATCAGACTACTGAAGTCGCCTATATTGGCAAAAATTATGAACATCCTCCAATGTTTGCGGATATGCTCGATGATGAAGCTATCTAGTTCGTTAGACCATTTCTGTATTTGCAGTAGTAATTGATAAGGACTCACTGTTCGTATACATTTGTCTTATATGGAAAACATACTTAAAATGAATGAACATTTTGGGTGGAAGTGAAAGTTTATGTTATGTATATAGCACGTGACTAGTGCTACCACAAGGATCACTAATAGGTTCGCTTATGCTTAAATATTTTCAATTGATTAGTTTTAAGGTATTTACGCACTAACAATGTAATGAACTTACGAACTTAATTTTACATGAAGTCATTGACTTAACCTATCCTATCCACTAGATAAAGCTGTTATATTTATCCGTCTAAAAAGGCAGAATTATCATTTGCTTGACGTGACTATAACAAAGACTTGCAAAAACGCCTGATATCGGAGTTCATAGGTCGTAGCCACATTGATACACCAGAGCATGTATCAATGTTTGTTCTGTGCTGTTTAATTCCAACGGTCTATTGTCACTGGTCACTGTCAAGGCGACGTTGATAAAATTATTTTAATTTGGTATAGTTAATTTGTTGCTGAGGAGCATCTGTCTCAGTTATTTCGACTGAGAAAAAAGCATACGGATGTCTATAAGCTGTAAATAGAAAAAAAGATTGTGGCATTCTCTGTAGGTATATCTGTTGGGACAACTTTAAAAGCATTAATCGACTATTAATCGAAGCGTTGTGTAATATCCCATTTCCAATATAATTACGCATGTGCGAGTATAGGGACAAATAATGCGCCACAATCTTCTTCCTCTATCTGTTTTATCCCTGATACCTGTATAAGTGAAACTGAATAAAAATAAACAGACAAACTGTTTATTTAGGTCACATTTTATTATTCTACTATATTGAGAATTAGAAATAATGCTTCAATGGAAAATACATTTTGAGATGTTAAATTATTTTTATAACTTACTATTACTTATTACTATTATAACTTTTTCATTGTTAAACTTTTATATATATATCCCTTTGTTTTCATTAAAGCTGATGATCTATAAAAGGTCATTGACGATAAATAATTATTAAGCAAAAGACAGGTCGTCAACTGCGATAGTGTAATCTCAGTGCCGAATAATGTATTGTTAAGTTGATGATTGCTTTAAATAATGCCAATTTCTTTGTTAATTTTATTGGTACTTATAATTTGTTAACAAATTATTGATTCAATGAAACGATGTGTGGAAAGACAAATGGTAATTTGGAATAATAAGATCTTTATTGAAACTTAAACATTTTATGAGTATTTTGAATGTGAGTAGAAATGTTATCTGTATATTTTAAAAATACCTTTAAAGGTATCTTCCATTTCATAATTGAAATGTTTTATGGACCCTGGATAAATATTATTGAAAACCTGATATGGATTTTATACGCAACTAAACACATCAGTAATTTTAGATTATCATAAAAAATAAATCCACATTATGAATTTAACTTACATCACATTAGGGTTTCATGTCGATTTTAAATGTTGGAACGTTTAGTATAGTCTTACCAAGCCGTTGGTTGAAACAAAACTCATCGTTCGCAAACGTACGTTGAATTGTTTTATGCATAAATTAGCTGACGCGTTTTTCAAAGCAGGAAAGTATATTTTGTATTAAACCTGTTGCATTGTTTGAATTGTAGGATTTAGGTGTTAAAAAATAAAGATATATGTTATATATTATTGGGAGATCGAATTATTACAAAAGGTCAAATAACTGTAATTAATTTCGAACTTAACTATATAAAGATTAAGGCCTTAAATCGATTGAGGTTATCTAAACTATCTGTTCTACTAATATCATATGAAAATGTAAAAGTAACTATTATATATTCTTTCACATTTATTCTTTCACGGATATTCTTTCACATAAAAAGCTACTGAACAGATTTTGTTGAAATTTGTTATAGGTACGGATAATTCTGAGCCTGGATTACTTATTATCCTACTAAACGGATCCTTAGAGGCCAAACGGCTGACAAAAAGCTAAATTTTCATATAAAAATACAAGTTAAAATATTTTTGAAAATACTTTTATACAGAGTTATTTGCAAAACACCCAGGATATCAAATCAAAATATAAAAAAATGATTGATGTTGCTCCTAGAGCACTGTAAAAAGTGCGTGCGTAGTGTTTTCCAATCGTTTATAAATCATTTATAAAGAATAAATGTCTCGACAGTATAGTGAGAAGCTGAAAATGCAATATTGCTCTTTATTATTTTAGCCAGAAATTCCTGGCAGGTTGCTGAGACAAATAACCCTGTATATTGTAATAAAACTTTTCAATACAAACTTAAACACTTATTTAAAAAGGAAATAAATAGATTCTGCCATAACGTCTTTTAAATTATTTTCTGGTTACTATAAATGTATTAATTCATCAAATAAAATAATTGATTTGTATACTATGCTTCTTAATATTTTCTATAATTGAAAGACTGCTATTTCATGGAAAGTCATGGTATTTTCAACGATCAACTAAGTTTTTATTTTAATAATCCTCAAACTTATGAATTTTACATTGAAAGCAACCGATTTCAAAAAGGTGTTCCTTATTAAATAAAGATTTTTTTTTCCTACTAAAACTGCGTTAGAATATTTTTTCCTACTAAATTTTAATTTTTTTTTGAGAAATTGATGATATCTATCTATGTATATAAATGAAAATTAAAATTAAGTAAAAATACAATTAATATTAATAGCACATTAGTATTTATAGTATTTCTAAAAATATTTTTAGAAAAGAGAAAAGAAGTTCAGGATAAGAAAGTAATAAGTAAAGATTAGTACTCACTGTCGCTCAACGCTGGTTTCCATAAAACGGAAAATAATAATAAAGCACAAAATCTCAAACTCCTCCCCATTTTGACGGGGGAAAAGTAGCACTTATAATTATATATCAGTCTCTGTAACTTATACTAGAAATACTATACTTGTTGCTTCTACCCCTTGCAGAAGGAGAATGAGGGTTCCTGCGGCGCTCAACTGTTTATATAGATACGGGAACTAACAGCAGAGGTCGTTCCTTAGCGGACCACAGGCAATGTAATGATACAGTAAGTTGTATGAGAAAATTTCGTGTGTAATAAAGAAAAATACCACGACGTGCGATGGTGATTTCTGGAATGTTCATCCCTAGGGAACTGTTTATTTTTCGTATCTCTAATATATTTTGTATACCATTTTGATGATTTACAGGTTAAAAATATATATATATTTTGTATAATTGTTTTTTGTTTTTTGTATAATAAAAAAATTAAGTAAGCCTTAGGCTTGTGCATAGATAGGTAGTCTAAAATGAAGAATAGTATACTCGGTCCTAGATTTTATGAACGATTATTCAAAGATTTAGTTTTCTCTACTTCCATACTAATATTGTAGGGAAAGATTTGATTGTTTGTTTGCATCGAATAGGCTCTGAAACTACTGTATAATTATTATTAAAATTCTTGCACCAATCTAAAGCTACATCATATACGGTGAGCATAGGCTATATTTTATCCAGAAAAACAGCAAATAAAGGGAAAAGTAACTATTGTTTACTACTCAATTTGTCATTGTAATAGGGATGATGACTAATTTTTGTTTGTTTGTCCGTCAGGTAGAGTGTTAAAAAATATTAAACACGTACTTTTTTATTTTTTTCGTAATCATAAAACTACGGCGTTACATTGAGTTGAAATCTCGCATGACGTCACGTTAGAGTACGTTTTCTACTCAACTGTGACGTAGCGAGCCCCCACTCCTCAACTTTAATGCCTGTTATCTATACCATTTCTTGTTAAATTGAGGTAAAAAAAATACGTATCTAATATTTTTCTATTATCTGACTGACGGACTAAATGGAATTGCATTTTTTTTACCCAGTCATCATCCCTATTATATCCATGTCATGATATGAATCTTTATCCAAATAAACAGTATCCTAGGGATAACGCGGGCAAAGCCGCCGGCGGAATGCAAGTTTTATAATAAAATTAAAGAAACATTAATGTTTCTGGAACGCTACTTAGTTTATTTGCTTTTATTGAAAATTGTTTGAGTTTGCAATGTTTGGTTAGAGATTATTAATAGAATATTTAATAATTTTTAATATTGAAATTATTTACAATCTGAATATTTAATGTTTCAGAAGTTACATTACGTTATTGGTTCCTGCTGCATCTTCATCATTAACACCCATCAATCCGTAATGGGCCGCGTGGTGAGATATAGACTATTTTTCTTTTTGTTCCATTTATAGGAAATGCCTATGTTCCAGCAGTAGGGACATTAATGGGTTTATTTATTTATTTATTTGGAAAAGGTACACCAAGAGTTTATATATATGATACATTGGAAATTATTATTTATTAAATTTAAACATTCTTATATATATATACCCATTACCGGCATACACAACATTTACTATAGGAACAATAATGAGTTTACAAGATTAATTGATGAAGAGTATATAAATACAAAAGTTTTTAATGTTTATACATCTTAATCCACACTCTGAGAACTTAATAATTGTAGAACATTGCTCTTATTTAGTTATACTTCTCACAGCATCGAAAAAGGGAGCATGGCGACCCACGTTTGTCCTGATTGTAGATAAAGCAAAAGTTCTAATTATAGGCTGGCGAGGGAGATGGGAGGGAACATTTAGCGAGACACTTTCTACGAGATGGTTACAATTTAGTGATCCATCGAGAAGCCTATGCAGAAATTACAGATCAAGGATAGTTCGCCGTTCTTGTAGAGTCATAAGGAGTTCTGTGCGATATACCGGGTGACACAAATGCTAGATATCCGGTGTATGCCTTCAATACGTTGAGATTGAATTGCATAAATGGGATTCCATATCACACTTGCATATTCCAGTATGCTTCTAACTAAAGCGTTGTAAAGTATAATTTTAACCGTAATAGATCGGAAGCCTTTCGTTGTTCTTTTGATAAATCCTAGTAAGCCGGCTCTTTTTACTACTGTGTCAACATGCGAGATAAAGTAAGTTTTGACGATGATGATGTTTCATTATATCGAGGAAGGTTACTGATATTTAAATTTACTTTGGTCAGTTCTATGAATTGCTAGTTATTTGTTATTTATTTGAATACATGAAATCTGTCTTATTTTACAAATGTTAATCAAAGTATTAGTGACACTTCTTGATGAAAAATACTTAAAAAATCCACTTGGTCCCTGGCACTTAGAATTTTAAACCTTTTTTATTAAGGATATTTTTCAGTATAGCATTGTGAATACTTACATACACGATACATACCGGTTGTTGTAACACTTAAATATTTGTTACTATATAAATACACATTCTGTAAAATATTTCAAGCGTTTACCTGTTGTCAAAATTGAGCAAAAAAAAACGTTGTTTGTTGTATGGGATTTTTATTTTTTGCCGTTGAAATGGCAACAGTAATACATACTCTGTGAAAATTGCAACTGTCTAAATTTCACGGTTCATGGGATACAGCCTGGTGATAGACAGACAGATAGAGACCTCTTAGTAATAGGGTTCCCGTTTTAACTTTGGGTACGGAACGCTAAAAAATGTCTCATAAAATTGGTCTGATAAATGTTTTTGGTAAATCACAAATTTTCTATAAAATAATAATAATATTTTGAAATTTTGCAATAAAATTATGCGACATTATCTATATATATTGGAGTTGCCAACCGTCTCGTTGTTTCAGGATATATTCTCGAATATCTTGGTTGGATTTAAGCAACGTTTTGGTTTATGAAAGCGCCCAAATGACATCACGTATTTGAAACAAATCTTTGTAGTTCTTACGACTCATGAGTGCGCCTTACACTGTCAGGTCATGGTATTTTTTAAGGGAGAAAAAATTGTTTTATTTTATCAATCTTAATTGCTGTGTTTTTCAACGAAATGTATTATTGGTATTTGAAATAACATTTACTTAAGTACTATATTACTGAGTACTGAACTAAAACTGAACAGCTTAAAATTTTACTTTTTGAAAGTTTCGATTGACAATATGGATGATGCATGGGTAAAAGAAATTCTTTCTTGTCCATCGGTTAGATAATAGTAAAATATTAGATACGTATTTTTTTGCTTCAATTTAAACAAGAAATGGCTTAGATAATAGGCATTAAAGTTGAGGAGTGGGGGCTCGGTACGTCACAGCATTGTAGAAAATGTACAAAGGTGTGAAGTTATATGACATTCCAATTCAATGTATCGTTAAAATTTATTGAGTTCACAAAAAATACTCAATATTCTTCATTGTTCTTACATTCTAAAATTCGTCATCATGCAGAACTAATATATTTTTATATTATATTTGATTAATTTTGCATTCACAATGTTATTCTGATAAATACCCTTAATGAATAATACTTTCAAATATTACTGGATTACAAAAAATATTAAATTTAGGGTAATTACATAACTTACATTGCAAATGTCATATAAGTTTCTCAAATAAGCGAAACAAGTAAAAATTCGTTTTTGTACAATAAAATTCTTATATGTACCTTAAAACTTTGTCATTTTTTTATTTTCTACGGCCCCACACTCAGAATGAGGTCGTTACTATGCTTATTTTTCTTTCATGCAAGTGCCCGCTGGTGCTACATCGCGTACTTTCAATCTTCATACTATTTTTTTTCTCACATTCACAATGTACACAATTACATTCTTTTACAGTTTATAGTGTTATGACCTAGTTAAGATTATGCCCTGGATAATGATATGTCAATCTTAACCTGGATGTCTCTGATAAGACAACATTAGGATAATGTTTACCTGAATAAAAATACCACGATGCTTTTGACTTTGTGTCGTGACACTGTACCATATCTACTACACTTTGTAAGCGAAATCTTTTCAGTTTAATTGTTACATAGACCATAATAAACAAAACTGAAAAGATTTCGCTAATATTATATTTAACTTTCGTTAAGCTTCTCTAAAGTCATTTAAACTTTTTACGGTAAAATTAATAGTAAATATTTATGTTAACTTAATAAGAGTATTTAATAATGATCTCACTATGCATTTTATTTGTTGTAATTAAGATCAGTGTGTGTGTTCGTGTGATTAGTTAATAGTTATATTTAATATACTTATTAATAAATAACAGCAGCAACTTATTAAATAAATAAGTTTGTTATAGGGGCTTCTAAAATGTGCTTTATTTTATTACTGGCTGTAACATAGTGGCCAGCCAGCTGTGCAATATTGCAGTTATATCCTGGTCATTAAGCTAAACATTTTTGGTATGGCCGATATTGTTCTGAAAGGTTGCCGGACGATCAAAAAACATTTCTGTGACGGTCGGGTAATAGGTTACCGATGGTGCAGCCAATAATAGGCGAAAAATATTGCTTATTTCTAAACGGAAACTAGTTTACCACAGCGTAGAGGTTCATTCAAATAAAATCTATTTCAAAAGGTACTAAAGTTTAAAACAAACATCGTTAGGTGTTTTTATTTTGTTTTGGCGGATCTATGAAATGCGGAAATTTGAAATTCTTTGAAAAAAAAGCAAACTGATAATAAATATAGCTTCAGTATTTGTTATGGACAAACTAAAAAAGAAATGATTGACCACATAAAAATCAAACGTCATCAAAACACATTCCTGGTTTCTGTTATAAACATTTGGTAAGTAGAGCACATTCAATGAAACTTATTTCATATGAAGTCGTCTCGAAAGAATCACTTAAACACTCTTTGAAGTCGGTTTTAGTTCTTTAAATAAAAACCCTTTATTGAAGTCTACTTTGAAAAAATAACCCCTGCTGAGATTCTATCTTCAACTCTTATCTAAAAGCGGTAAATAATATAAATGCATCATTATTTATAGATCAACATAGTTAATTCAAATATGTA